CACATCCGTATCCACGTCCCCCCACCTCTGGACAGAGGAGACGGGTCCTTCCTGGTGAGGTACCGGCTCTACGGGACTGTGCTGAAGGGCCTGAAGGTTGAAGTCCTCCACCAAGATGCTGCTGTTGCCAAGTCCCCCTACACCATCCAAGGTTTGTCATGCATTCATAAACACACTTACAGCATACAACACTCTGTACTTTGACCCTAGATACGGATAAGAATAATTTCTCCCAAAATGCTTTTTAACAGGGAAGAAATCTCAGGAAGGATCCCTCTTTCATGGCGGACAGACATGCACCACACACTAAAGGGCTGTGGTGCAAATGAATCCCCACCCTGCACCACCAGAACGTGTGCTGGTCTTTAGAATGAAGCCTCGTTGAGCCTCATTCTCATGCAAATTAAATGAATATTGTGTTATTTAACCATCATTATCAGGGGAGGCCAATCTGCTATCGTGCTTCACTTCACATCACAGTCTCTCCTTGATAAAGCACACCAGATGCTTTGAACCATGTGGTAATATTGCGCAACGTGCGTCTGTCCAGCCTCAGATATTTTCTTTTTATTGCCCAGGTCCAGTATATCATGAATACTGCGACTGTCCACAACGCAATGCTTCCGCCTGGCAGAGCGTCATGCAGTGTCCTGCTGAGGAGCCTCAGATTCTGGCGGACTTTAAATCTTTTCCAACGGTCGACCTGCAGCGTCTCAGACAGGAAGTGCCTGACCGATTCACCAACAGAGGAGGTCTCATTCACTACGCCATCATCAACAACCAGCTGTACCGCCGCACTCTGGGGAAATACACCGACTTCAAGATGTTCTCTGATGAAATGCTGCTCTCTCTTACAAGAAAGGTAAGGTTGTATGTATGTTCTAGGGACGTTAAAGAATCAAAATGTTGCTGCATGTTTTTACTACAGGTAGTATCTCAGTATTACTGCAAAGAGACTGTGTGGCATTTTATGATTGCTGATTTGCTGTTGAAGGTGAGTGTGCCTGATGTGGAGTTTTACATCAATGTTGGCGACTGGCCGTTAGAGACGAGGAAGGCCGATGCTGTGCCAGTCTTTTCATGGTGTGGCTCTACAGACACGCGGGACATTGTCCTCCCCACTTACGAGGTCACACACTCCACTCTGGAGACCATGAGAGGTGTCACCAATGACCTGCTGTCTGTCCAGGGAAACACAGGTAACCCACACACTCACTCCTAAACCGCTGTGAGGCCTGCTGTAGCTGAGAAGTGAAGAAGCTCACACATTGAATGTATGCGTCTGTCACCCGTCAGTTAATGGTGACAAAGTTCATACATTTGTCCCTGTGCTACCTTGATAAAGGTAATCTGCACTGTTCTAAATCCAGTTCACTGTGACTGACAAGTTAGGAGTTCTGAGTGTGCCTGGGGGTTTATGGGCTCTTCCAGTTCAGAAACACTAATCTACATGCCAGTAGTGGTCCAAAGTTGAACTGTATATTTGGCTTCAGTTATGTGGCTGTTTTTGCCTGAGATCCCAAATGTCAGGATTCGGTTGTATCATCTCTTCAAATATATCTGGCAGAACTGAGAAACTAGAGCTCAGATTGAATGGACTTTTCGCTCACATTTTAAGCGTCCACCAGGGGGCGCCACATGGTTCAGTATTGGGTCCTCTTGGTTTCACAGTGTACATAAATAATCACGTGGAGAGTCGTATGCAGTAACCCCTACATAGGGACGATACAAAGACCTATTGTTGTGGAACTACGACATAAGAGGTTTTTATTAATCTGTAATTTGCTTTTCAGTGAAGTACTTCTCCATCCAAGACGGGCAAAACTTGATCCTACTCAATCAATGTCTAGTGAAATGGTTCGGATGCTTCATGCTGGATAAATGATTTTCTTTCCAGGGTCATGTTGGTCTTTTAAAGAAACTAGCTTCAACTAAGACAGAAAGTGGGTTTTTATTTTAGAACAGGTGCTGTTTCACATTTGATAATATTACAGTGGAGCCTTAAAATGTACCAACGCTTTTGTGGACAATTTAGGGACACAAATAGTTAAGTACACTCTTTATAACTGTATAATTTTAATTATTTGTAAAGACAGTGCTTTTTGAAGTGTGTTTGTTACCTTTTATCAATACAATTTTGACCAGAATTTAAGAAGAATCTAACGTGATTTTAAAAAAAGGTCAAATTAATAAATCAATAATTCTTACGATGCTCTTTGTACTGTTTAATAATTGGGAAATATATCAATGGACACACATTTCTTTCTGCTTGCAGTCCATTTTATCAACTGGCAGTTGATACATTTGAATTAACTGAGTCAGGACATGTAGCCGCCCTCACCCCAGCCTCAATGCGTCCTTATAGTACAAGTTAAACCCTGACAAATAATGAGTAGCTTTTATGGAAGTACACACAAGTTATTTTATTCATCCAGAATCTTTATAGGTCTAATTATAAACAAAAGTTCTGTCACTTGGAGCTTTGTTTGGGGTAACATTTGGACCACTTTCTTCCAGGGCCTCCGTGGATGAACAAAACAGATCGAGCGTTTTTCCGCGGCCGGGACAGTCGAGAGGAGCGTCTTCACCTGGTCTCTCTGTCCAAGGAAAACCCCGAGCTGCTGGACGCGGGCATCACGGGATGGTTCTTCTTCAGAGACCGGGAGAAACACGTAGGCAAAGCATCGCTTGTTGGATTCTTTGACTTCTTCAAGGTGAGGAAAAGTGAATAAATCTTTTGTAGATTTAGACTTTTTGTCTCTCTGTTTTGGATATGATTTCTCCTTTTGTGGTCACAAGTAACCTCAGCTAAAAACAATTCAATAAATATAAATGCTATACAAATATGACAAATATAAATCCTATCCTTATCCTCCCATATAGAAATTATGGATATAATATTTTGCCTCTTTTAGTACAAGTACCAGGTGAACGTGGATGGGACGGTGGCAGCGTATCGGTTTCCTTACCTGATGCTCGGGAACAGTCTGGTTCTGAAGCAGGACTCGCAGTATTATGAATATTTCTACAGCCATCTTAAAGCAGGTACTCACTATGTTCCCGTGAAGAGAAACCTGTCTGACCTTTTGGAGAAAATCAAATGGGCCAAAGAGAATGACCCTGAAGCACATGAGATTGCCAGAGCGGGCCAGACAGCGGCCAGAGAGCTGCTGCAGCCCAGCAGACTGTACTGTTACTACTACAGAGTGCTGCACATGTACTCAGAGCGGCAGACGGGACAGCCAACACGCCATGCGGACATGGAGCTGGTGCCTCAGCCGGACGACCACACCGCTGTGTGTGCATGTCAGCGTAAAAGCCACAAAGAAGAAACCAACATGAAGGATGAACTATGATGGAATCTGTCTATAACATATAGTTACTGTCATTTCTTTCTCTGAAACATTCCTGACATATGCAGAGTGAAGATAATGTTCCTGACGCTCACAAGAATGGATTTTGAAGTTTACAGTAAAGCAGTACAATTGTAATTGTTGCTTTTATTTTGGACCGTAAAGATCGTTTGAGGAAGAATTTACAATAAAAACTGTGTCCTCTATCATTTAAAGATGAGGCTGCAGAACATTTCCTTCAAAATATAATGCCACTCTTAGTTTTTAATATGGTGTGTTGTCTTGTTTTTTGTACCTTTTTGTAAAGCTGTGGTTAGAAGAAGAAGAAACTGAGGATATAATTACTGTTTTGTTAAACATGCCTTTGCTTTGGATATTTGTATGCAGTGTTATCTGAAAATAAATACATCTTAAATATTTCACTGTGTGGTGTCATACAACTGCACTATGAGAAGGAATTCAGACATGTCTGTACAGTTGACTAGTTTCTGGTGCCTCCACTGCGTCACTTCCATTGCAGTTAGCAGGTGAGTCCTCAGATAGCAAGAAGCGTTATCTTTGTTGGTTATTTTGACATCTATGTTGTAGAACCCCAAATATTTCCACTCACTACTTCTCAGATCTTTGGTGTTGTGATACTCTGATCAGCATGGCTTTGCTCCATTTTTGTTTATGAGCATAGTTTACTGAGGTCAGGGCATGCAGTAGATCAAGCTCATAGTGAGTTTAAAGAGTGCCCTCTGCTGGACCACAAGGTAAAGTAGTCGTGGTTGTCTGTTGCACCTTCAGACTGTAGACTTTGAATTCAAACAGGTTATTGCAGTTTGAATGTTACCCCCCCCCCCCCAATTTCTAGTGAAAATGGCAGCCCTACACTGTAAGTAGAGTTAATACTGTGGGGTCAAACAGTTAGATATCACCACAAGAAATGATTCTGTTACATTATTTTTCAAAGCATTTTTTAATCAGTTTGTATACTAAAGCAGTAGACTGAGTGTACAGCCATGCTAGCAGCTCTATGAAGCTGTGCTTTCAGATAAGTGCTAACATTAGCATGCTCACAGTGATACATACAAACAACATACAAAAGTTATCGTTTACCATCTTCATCTTAGCGCATCAGCATGCTAACATTTGTTAATTAGCACAAAACCAAGTACAGCTGAGGCTGATGGGGATGTCATTACTTGTGCAGGTATTTGAAAACTTTGCAGAGGCGCAAGAAGAAAGGACAGGGGCTCACCAAAGGTGTATGTAATGAAATGAATGATGGCTGAATTCCATTTAGCGGCTTTAGTTTCCTGTTGTTGATATTGCATGGGCTCACTGTCACACTGGAGGGGTACACCCTGGACAGGTCCTTCACAGGGCACTCTGCTGTGAACCTTGCCCTCTAAAACTTGAGCACCATGTAATGTTATTTTAGAAAGGGACTAACTGAAATGGTATGATTCAGCTGTGCCGTATGTTTCCAAATGTTTGTAAATGACGCGTTCTAATTTAAGCTGTTAGGAAACAGCACTCTAAGTAAACAGCAGAAAGTATACAGACACACCTGTAGGATTCACCATCAACACCTGGAATAGGTTGAAAATAACCAAAATTTTCTCTCAAAAGGCTCTACTTTATCAAACTCAACATTTTAGTAAACTCAACATTTTAGTAAGTATGGAGCTTGTTTCTGAAGAGATACATCAATACCCTCCACATCTCCATCACAAAGTTTACCACACTGTGTCACTGTATTGTGTTGTTGGCCATTAAATATTACATTAGTCCCTTTGGTTCAGCTGAATTTAATCATGAGGGTGAGAGGTTCTCCCTCTTTCTTGGTGACAATGGCCTGCATCATTCCTGTAGGTGTATGGAGATACCTCGAGCCTTTGAAGAAGTTCTCAATAAAAGCTCTGTCAATCTTGCACTTCCCGATGGCCGCCTCAAAGTTGTTGCTGAGCACGCCGTAGATATTCCCCCTGTCGTTTTTCTTCCCCAAGAACAAGAAGAGGGCGTAGCAGTCCTTGCCGATGGAGGTGGAGAAGTCGACCACCCTCTCGTACATGGTCTTGTTGCTGGACTCCTTCTGGGCCATCTGGATGGTCTCACTGCAAGCCTCTGGGGGGACGTCCTCCCTGTCGGGCAGGTGTAGGACCTGCACGACGATCTGGATCCGAGGGTTCTTGGTGGGCTTCTCCAACACGGCCCAGACCCAGTCAGCGCCCAAGAGGATGCGCTGCTCGGGCGTCATGGCTGTGCAGTTGAAGGTGTCTGTCATGTTAAGGCTGATGCTCTGAGAGATGTAGGTCATCAGGAAGATCTGTTGGCGGACAAGATGTTTTAAAGACCACTTAATGTTCAATGTTTTGAAGCTCTAAAGAGGTGCTGTTTTCAGTTCTTTGGAAGTATAAAGTTACCTACCTGAGTGAGCACCTTAGGGCTTGGATGGAACTTGTTTTCCGGGTCCTTGAAGAGGAGGTACTCTTGAGTTCTGGACGAGGCGGTAGAGATGCAGTCGCTGAATAGAGGTATGAAATCGTTGGGTTTGGCGGTGGGAGGCCTCCTCAGCGTGGAGAAGATGCTCGGCTGAGGGGAGTTGTACCGATGGTAGGATGGACTGGTGGGGGAGCCACGCTTGAAAGAGGAGAGGAAGTTGTAGTTCTGGAAGGGGTTAAAAGTGGGTTTGCTGATGGTCTCTCCCATGGTGGACTGATGATGGAGGGTGGGAGATCAGAGAGTGGTCTCCCTGATACACTGGAAAGATACAGATTAGAACATAGACTGTAATCTGAAATGAACATATGGTTAGTAAAAGTTGAGTCTAGTATTTTGATAGTTGTGTTCTTGGAGTACAAAAGAAAACCACCATCTGTAGTAATGTTGCCCCACCATATGGAACCACTGCTATGGTCCCGTTTTTCACTTCAAGGTGAAAAAATTACTTTTCCATGCTCTACTATGCGTACAATAAAAATAAGATATCTATCAAAAAGATTTATAAATGATTCCAGATACTCACCAGGATGGGTCTAGGAGTTTCTGTAGTTCCAAGTCCACTAGCTGCCCTCCGCTCCAGTCCTCTGCCCTGCTGAGATACACAGTGTCTATGTGTGTGTGTGTGTGTGTGTGTATGGTGGTGTACGTGAAGCTCAGTGTTCAGTCTCTTGTCATGTGCAAAACTTTCAGTAGAATAAAGAGGATTTTCTATCCCCAGGTTTCCTGTCGACAGTGTTAGCATGGGTGTGGTGTTTGAAACTTGTTAAATTTTAGGTAAGTCAACAAAGGACTAGTCTTACCAGTTAAGTGGTGGCAGCAACAGCAGCTTGAGGACTGGGTTAAGCCTGAAGGGTTTGATCAGTAAACAGAACACTCAACTGTCTGCCTTCAGAAGGCATTGCAAATTAGGACATGTAGGTCAGATCAGGAGTTTTTAGTTTGATTCTCTGTTGTAATTTCACTTTAGAGGAAGAGAGGAGTTTGACTTGAAATTTATAAAGAGTGTGGTTTACTGTGTATGTGCAGGTAAGCGCATATACTGTATATTCTTATATTAGCCTGAGGTTACTTGCCAAATCCCATAACATTAGCGGTTTACCACTCAGAAGACCCAGTCTGTCATGGTGCTTTTATTTCGTCAACATAACAATGCACTGCCCTACAGTATCATTACGCTGCTCTTTTGTGCAGTCATATTGACACTCTTTGTAAAAGTAGGTTTTAATTTTTACTTCTGCTGGTACTGATTAGTGCTAAAGAATATACGGTACAATAGGGGAGAACAGGGTCAAATGAACCATCATTTGTGCTGATACCAGACAAAAAATTACGTTTGTCTGGTACAGACAGTTTTTATGTTAAAATTGTTGAACGTTCATGGAAACCCACATGACTTATTTTGTGAAGTTTACAAATTACAATAATGATAAATTGGCTGATGTTCATTCAACACATACACATACATAAATACATCAGCCATAACATTATGAGCACAAGCCTAATATAGTGTGGGTCACCGCTTTTCCATGAAAGGATGTACATGTTGTCTGCAACAATGCTGAGGTAGGTGGTACGTGTCAGAGTAACATCCATATAAATGGCAGTAGAACGTTGCCTAACGCGTCACACTGTCTCCTCCGGCTTTTCTTCTTTCCATAGTGCATATTGGTGCCACGTGTTCCCTAGCTAAGCCACGTACACTCACCCGGCCATCCACGTGATGTAAAAGAAAACGTGATTCATCAGACCAGGCCACCTATTTCCATTGGTCAGTGGTCCAGTTCTGATGCCCACGTGTCCATTGTAGGCGCTTGCACTTGCCCATTTTTTCTGCTTCTAACACATCAGCTCTGAGGACAAAATGTTCACTTGCTGCCTAACAGATCCCACCCAACTGACATGTGCCACGGCAACGACACAATCAGTGTTATTCACGTCGCCTGTCAGTAGTCATAATGTTATGGCTGATCCACTCACTGGCCACTTTATTAGGTACACCTTGCTAGTACATTCTCCTCGTCTCACGTCTGGCACGAACAACCATGCCACATTCAAAGTCACTTAAATCCCCTTTCTTCCCCATTCTGATGCTCGGTTTGAACTTCAGCAAGTTGTCTTGTGTTAACAAGCAATTAAACGGGTATACCTAATCAAGTGGCCGGTGAGTGTACGTATCTTCCTTCCGTATCCTTAAAGCAGCATTAATTCATGTTTCTGGGGGCAGCTGAACATTGACTTGTTAACACATCTGGGTCCAGCATTAGCATTCATTTGGAGTAGCATTTCTTTTCACCTGATGAATGTCCAATTGAAGAAAGTCCGTTATTGACTCTCCTTTTAGCTCTGTCTGGCTCTTTAGGTGCTAAATGTGCCACTATGTTCACCAGCTATCAGTATCTAACTTTGTCAGTCTGCCATTTGGTACAATCCAGCTAGCGTACAGTCAGAGCTTTTTCATGACAACCAGCTACCTGCTGTGGCTGTAAAACCAAAACAATGGAACTAAAAGGTGCTACAGTGCCTACAGAAAATCATCATACCCCTTTAAAATATTCACTTTTTTTGTCTTTCAGCTTGAAATCAAAACCTATTATATATAAAAAAATATATATATATATATTTTCAGCTTTATTTACATATTCTGCACATTCAAATGACGTAACAAGGCAACAGTCCTGAAACCTAATAAGAAATGAAAACCAGAATAACAGAGTTGAAAAAGTGAGTCCCATGAGTCAATACTTCTTAGTGGCAGCTTTTGCTTTAATTACAAAAAGCAAAAAGTGTACAGGGTATGATGAGCTTCTGTAGGCACTGTAAAAAGCTCAAAGGTAGCTGCAGTCGGGTGATAATTCTCTGTTGGCTCGTCACTGCACCGACCACTTCCACATTACACACATTCATTTGATACACTTTTAAAATAAAAATAGTGATTAGTACTTTATTTATTTAGAATTGTGACTAAGATATCTACTAAGTGGAACATTTCAGAGTTTAAAATAAACTCGTCAGTGCTTTTTGGTGGACAAACTATGTAATGGTGACACTGTTTTAAATTACCTAAAATATATCTGGACTGCATTTTCTTTGTACTTATAAAAGGGAATACACACCAATACCAATGTCCACTATCTGTGCTAAGCTAATACTGGCTGATAATATCTATACGATGTATTGGTTGGGCTCTAATGGAAGTACATTTCCAGCCATCATTTCCACTTTCTCATGCTGCTACAGCTCATTTCGTTCACACATTTCATACATCACCATACCTGACCAAATAACTTTAGGTCTCATATTTTATGCACCGATTAGTTATTGGATGCTAAACTTTAACTACATTATCACTGATTTTGTCTTTCAAACTGATCTGTAGACTGGCAGAGGAGCGGTCATCACAGCTGCTGTCATTTCACGACCACCAGTGCCAGTGCTCCAGACCAAATCTGTCCTATCCCTGATATATCCTGCATTTAATGAAGACACTTTAATGGAGTCTAATAGACCAAACAAACTAGAAATAATGTTCAACTGAATCTTTCCCCACTGAAATAATGTAACTTATTTTAACAAAGTAACATGGATTAAATCTGTTTTTGTCCCATTCAGCCTTTTCACACACTGTCTCCTCTGAGAAGATCTAACAGTTCTAACAAAATAACTGGTTTTTACATATGCTGGTAATGTCTTTTAATTTCAAAATGAAAACATTTGTCATTGTGTACGTGTTGTGTGTGTGTTTCCTTGCCATCGATCCATCCATTTTCAATTTGACCCTTTTTTCTAGCTACTTTTTCCAAGCGGTTGAACCTTCATTTGTTACATATGTGCTACAGTCTTTCATCGCAGATTCCATGAAAGGAAATGATACGCATATCATATGACTGCCATGAAACAAGGGATAGCTTCTATACAGTACACAGCGGTCAGTATGATCGTTAGAGAGCAAGGGAGTCAGTGAAACAAAATGCCCCAAATGGCTAATGAGTAACAGTTCATTATTGTAGAAATTCTGATAAAGAAATTTGTAAATGACGAGTGATGATTGTTTTCCACATTGTGTAAGTCCACTGGTGTTCCTTGGCCCACCGTATCTACAGTGTGACTGCAGAGTGACTCTAGGTGTTACATGAGGTATCAGCGGCTAGTAGAAGTACATGTAACAGCTCCACACTGCAGTGTTAGGCCGGGGCTTGAGGTACAGTACAGATGTCAGATTGGTTGCGACAGGTCTCTGTGGTTGATTGCATTAGTGAGCCAACGGCGTCGGGTCATTGTCCTTCAAACGAGTGCCGTCTGAGACTGCCTCAGCTCCTTCCGCAGCTCATCTTGGCTGAGCAGGAACTGGAAGCAAAGCATCATGGGAGTGGTAATGGGTTAGAGAGCTTGGGAGCTGGTGTTTGCCACTGAACTGGGATCAGTTACCACATTTCGTTTTAGTATATATGAAGATATTGTAAACGAATGAAGAGGTCTTTTGCGTCATATTGCTTTGTGGTACAAAACAGAATAAACTGAGCAAGTTGTATTTTCAAGAGTAAACTTTGACTGAGGCAACATGAGGTTTATGACAAGGATTTATTGTGGTTTAATTTGGACAGCACCATTAGGAAAGAGTGTCAACAAAGGCCTCATTTGGTATTGGAAATCATTCCAGGGATGTATGAGGAGAACGTATCCCAAGTCAGAGCACCACCAGCTTCATTGCAGAGTTAAGCAATATTAGGCCTTTTTCACAGCAGATTTTCTGACTTATACCAGGAAAACACAGGTGGAACTAATTAAATATGCAGTAGCACAGTTAGGTCCACCTCAACCAAACAAAATGTTGCTTAGACATTAACACATAAAAAATTATCCGCTAATGTATTATATTATAACATTAGCAGCAGAAAAGGGCCGTTCTGTAAATTGAGTACTTAATTTTTTTCATTTTAGTAAAATATTTGTATATTAAGCAATAATATAGAAGAATATTTCTACATTTTGGCTAATAAACCAACAGGTCGATACTCTAGAATGGTCAAGAAATTTGCCCGGGACTTAACTTCCTGTTAAATGCCAAATTGTCATTTTAACACTTAGGTTTTTGTATGGATCAAACAAACTTAGATTTAACATGTTAATTAGTGAGCTTTAGATGGATTTCTTTTCACTTTTAGACAGAGCCAGGCTAGCTGTTTACGCCCGTTTGAAGTCTTTATGCTAAGCTAAGCTAACGGCTACACCTACATATTTTCATTTTAGTCTTCTTATCTAACTCTTCTTACCAAACCTACACAGAATGCAGCCATTGTTAAGGTTATAATTTAACCTGTTGTGCTATGACATCTCTGCTGTGAAAATGCCTGCTTTTCATTATCAGTCAGTTTGATTAATGTAGGCCTGTGGCCTTTTTAGGATCACGGGAAGCTAAAATGTTTTAATTGTTTCTGAAATAATAAATGAATGGTTTAATTCACAATATTGTAAGCTAAAAATGATTTTATCCTTATGGGTTCCTTCACTTTGAAATTAATCTCTAAGGGTAATATTTTTTCTCTAAGATCTCAAGGCTCAACTGGTTCACTGGAGATGTTGCTTTAGATAGCTATCAAGAAGTAGTTTCACATGTTTGTTATCCAATGTGTTAGGGTTCAATGATGACTTCAGCAAACAGAAAAGGAGCAAAAGAACCAAGGCTGGCATCTGCCAGATACAACAAGTAATAATGTACCAGTGAGCAGGTTTCACTCTAGAAGTCATTCTATTACTTTCTTATTTCCAACAGATCTGTGGTGTTTTAATGTTGTTCCTCCCTCCAGAGTTTTCCGTCTGAGTGACTCAAACTTCTGTTAGAACCAATGAGCAGCAGTTACTCGGTAAGTGAATCAGCTGCGCAAGTCATTACCGGCAGCTTGTATGTGTTGGTGCTTACTGTGAGGTTGTTGATGCTTTCAGAAAGAGCTTCTATTTGCAACATGGTACCCTCTGTGATCGCCATCTGCAACACACACACACACACACACACACACACACACACACCACACACAGGGCCTCATGAACCCATTACAAGTCACGATTACAGACTTACTTTCAGTGAAACAATGACTTTCCTAGGCATTAGTATTAATCACATTAATTAATCATATTGGCATTCATGTAAGTATGCAGAAGTGTACTATACATTACTGACTGGAGCAATGAGGACTGTACCTGCAGCTGCATGCTGAGCTCAAACATGCACTTCCAATGTCATTTTAAACAGTGTTACCATGGTAATGGTCAGCAGACACCTTGGCTCAGATAGGTCCGCAGAGAGGGGAAGCTGGTGTCATAAACAGCCATGATGGTGAGGGTGATGATGATGATGATGAAAGCAGGTTAGCGGTTGATGCAGGTTACTCAGGCATGCCGTCCACTGTGGCTCCACATAGAGCATAGTCCATTACTTTCTGTCAGTTGTCTCAAAGTATAAAAATCATTTTATACCACATCTGTTTTTCTTTATCTTGGTGATTGGGGGTAATTTAATAAGAAAAATACAGTAGAAAATATATACCCCTTATATGTTCATCCAAAATATGTGTTCTTTTACTTCTGACTTTTGTGTAGAAAGAAGGAATCAACTTTACACACGTATGATTTTGTTTATTAAATGATTTGATAAATCTTTTTACATTTACATGACCACATGTAAGCTTCTTTTAGTGGAGCAGGATTTTCTTTACTATAAAAATACTATTACAGCAAATATGAAAATAACAGTACAAAATCACCACCTCAGGTTCAAATGAAACATGCTATTTATCATTTCCTCTGCAATGACATAAATATTAAATAAAATCCCCTCCATATTATTATGCAAATATTGCACAAGTTCATCTCAACCATGTGACAGAACTGTATTAAACAAATCAAAGTTGTAAATGATGTGATGACCGACTCACACAAAAAAATCATCTAATAGTGGTGCACAAATGTTAGAACGTTGGCTTAATACTGTACAAATGATATCCAAATATACGGCATGGATTAAAGGAAGTGATTGGAGTCCAGAGAGTTGATGTGTTCTCTCATGATGAGTTAGATCATGGCACAGGTTTGAGGCTGAAGTCGGGTTAGTGAGGCATCTGGAAATTAAATCAAAATACTTCAAGTGTGTTGATTCATCGTCTCAGTACACCCTTCGTGACAAGCAACTGTGACTGTAAAACAGTCAGGCAGGTTCATGTGGACGCCTCTGAATCTGTTCACACGTAAGGCACGGGGTCGGGCTGATGGGCGGGGATTAGAGGAGCAGGGAGGGAATGGGCTGAGGTATTATGGGCCGCAAGCAAAGGAAGCAAAGTAGTAGAAGCAGTGGCAGCTGATTGGCTGATGGAAAGTGTGACAACACGGTATCGCCATATTGTTGTCACATTTGTGGTCATGGGAATGGATCAGCTTTTCAGCTCGTCTTCGAGGCCCACCTGGTCCCTGGGCCGGTCTGGCTCTCGGTCCAAGATGGGGCTCAGGCCTCTGAAGCCGGCGTAGGGCCGCACCTGTACCCCGTTCACTGCAGACTGTCCTGACTGAGGCGAGGACGACTCGATTGGACAGACGTAGTCCGTGGATTCATCCGGCCGCTTCTTTCTGAGGTGAGTCAAGTTAGAGAAGCCCAACTTCTTCGGCTGCAGTGAACAGAAATGACAAAGGGATATGACTGTCTGATGTTAGATGACTATTCTGAATCTCAGGCGGAAGGACTGAAAATTTACAGAATTACGCCGTGATTCACATATGATCACTTAATAATAATTCAGTCAGTTCTATCACTTATAAAAACAGTGTAGGCATCAAACTGATGAAATCATGTTGATCATAGGCATCATATTGATGAAATGTGGGAACAGGAGTCCAAGAGCATCAAGCAGTCAGGCTGTAAACAAACCAACATGTTAGCCAGGTTATTTGAACCGAACACCCAAACAGGGTGCACCTCAAATGTCGCTAAAAAGACAAATACTGCAGATTAAGTTACTTGCAGGTGAAAGGGGGTCTTTTGTTCTGTGTCTTGTAAACATCACATCTGTATGCAGTGTTTTCTTATATCCATACTTTGTGTTGCATTCAGCGCATGTGAGTAATGAGTGATACCAGGCAACAACAGACAGCAGCTTATAGAAATGTGTCCTCTAAGCTTGCTCTTGCTGACTAAAGCCACTGTGATATTATCACAAAGCACTATAGGATATCACTTGGTAGCTGGGTGGCCCTCTGGGAGGAAATCCACACAAACAAATAAATCCATTTTTGTGTTTTTTTTTTGTTTTTTTTTTAGATCTACAGTCTATTTAGCATTCCAGGTTATATTTGTGCACAAACCCATCCTCATAAATATTTAGTGCTCACGGAGTGGCATAAGAAATTTAAAAATTAAGCATCCAAGGTCATAAATGGGTCACCAGTAAGTGTGCATTCTGTTTTCGGGTGGATTATGCTTTCATTTTTCTTCAGCAGAGCACAGAGGGACTTAGAGCAGAGGCTGGGTCTTAAAGCTGGGAGGAGGAGCAGAGCAGTCCCGGGTTTACTCTGCACTCACATTCTTAAACACACTGAAGGGTTTAGAGCTTAAACTGAGCTGACGCACCAAAGTTTCACCTCAAATTGAGGTGCTTTCCCTCTCACATGCAGGGTTAACTTTGTGTGTGCTCTCTTAATGCTGCATTGTTGAGTACTTTCTCTTCTACTCCAAGCTGTATAATGGTGCCTGTGCTTGTATTATCTTACCTTGACTTTAGCTGTGATGCTGAGTGGGGTGTACCCCGCTGCCTCAGTGTACTCCCTCTTCTCCTGCTGAGCTTGTGCTCCCACCAGGTTGTTGAAGTTGGTGGTGAGGTGGCGTCTCAGCAGTGTTTTCTGAGGAGGGATGTTCAGCAGCATGGCCAGAGTGTCTGAGTTAAACCGAGGCTCCAGCATCTATGAGAGGAGAGACACATTTAGGATGCTTTCTGTAGCGTTTTCATCCATTCATTCAAATTGTGAGATTGTGTACTCACCACCAGCCCCCCATGCACACCGCTGCCCCTCAGGTTTGGTGCGTACTCTGCCAGATCCACAGATCTCAGCCACTCCATGACTCGGTGGTTGGACCACTGGACCACCTCACTGGGAGTGAACTGGTTCTGAAACACAAACACACATGCTTTATTATTTTTTACTTCACACATTTTAAGCATTTCTCAAACAGGAGAACACATACAGTGAATTAACAGTCCAAAATGTTATTTAACAAGACAGATGCAAACAGAAAAGTTTGAAAGATTTAAAAGAAATTAGAGTTGGAGCAGAGCTCAAGTGTTCTGGGAGTTTGTCAGATATCTGATTCAATGAAACTGAACGCTGAAGAAACTAAAACTTGCGTACAGACCAGCGCTTCTTTTAAACAACACACACACCTACTTACCTCATTGCTGGGCCTCCGTTTGAGGCAGTTAGGGTGGAACTTGGAAACATGGAGAACATGAATAGCGCATTTGATGCTGAGGTGATGCAACTGGCTGGTCACTTTAAGGAATAACAGGTCATTCTGAGGTGGAGAGAAGACAGAGATCAAGGGAAAGAGAAAGTGAGCATATAATCACTGCATGCAAGATTTTTGACTGTAATCCAGGGGAACTCCTAAACAAGAGCTTCATATTCTTGTATTTTCTAAAAAATGAAGCATACTGCCCAATTTTACTTATCTGCAGTTTAGCAGTTATTTGACCTTCACATCATAATTATAAACTCACCACAGTGAGGTACTGCAGCATCTGCCCATCCACTCTTCCATCATTAAACTGGTCTTTATACTGAGGAAGGCCGATGTCATCGAGCCAACCTTTGGAACATAAAATATCACAGTCTTTATGTGAGGGAACCTCAGAATGATTTTCTGTCAGGGACTGTTTTATTTCAGTGTGATTTCAGTACATACGAGTGACCCAGATGTAATCAAGCTCTGCAGACTTCTCAGGCTGCTTGCTGCTGAACGTCTTGATGGCTAAGCGGAGCTTCTTCCTGTGGAGCGGATTCTTCATTGCCAGCTCCTGGCGTCACAGTGAGAGAAAATTATAATGTCACAGTTACATAAATCTAACAGATGGCATTACAGGTTCACCTGAGAAAGAAAAAATATACCAGCATTAGAGTGAATGATCTAATTGAAATGATCTTGTGGAGAGAGATGAAGAGGTTTGTGGGGTCTGAGGTGGACAATGTGACAGTGTTGAAGGCGAAACTAACCAGCAGGTTGAAAAGCAGAGACAGGCGTAGCTAAATGCCAAACAGACTGACACACAGCAACAATGCTCAGACAGGTAGAACTGGAAAATATTTGACAGGCTGAATGGAAGAATATTTTGTGAGGTAAACCAACTGAGCCGGACAGTGTGTGTGTGTGTGTGTGTGTGTGTGTGTGTGTGTTAGTGTGTACCCTCTCTAGGTCTTGCGTGGTGGCCGACAGTAGAGTCTGACCGCTGGTGACCCAGTGGTGAGCAGGGATGCAGTACTGACTGAGTCCAGTTTCCTCAAGCCAGTCACACACCTGCTCTGTGCTCCACTTAGAAAAGGGCGTCTTCAGGTCTCTGACATGGTGAGAAGAAAGATTATATAAAATAATAAATCAATAGATGAGACTAGTGGACCTGGAACCACATACAGTGTGTTTTACAGTGTGGACTCCAGCAAAGGTTAAACACTATTTTGTGTTGGAGGATCACAATGGAGTCTTTGTATATTTCAGCTCATCTACTTCAAATCAAATAGCACATGAATGTCCCATGATGCCAAATGTCCTAAACCAGTAGACATTTGAGGCTGCAAGTGCTCCACTAAAATCTCTCTGTGATTAACAGAGATTTGAGATAAAACCTGTTGTGTGAAACTGAATGGTGCCTGAAATAAGCCATCTTGTGTTTTTATACCGTGTGTTCCCTGAACGGGCCAGTCTAGGTCCAGCTGTAGCTCTGAAGCCTCCCCTCTTGAACTCTCCCAGCTCGGGGTCGTGAAGCTGGGCAGGACTACCTGATTGGCTGCGCCGAATCCTGGGGGCAACCAAAACGCTTTGAGCGCGTGAAGGAAAAATTGGAAAAGTATGGAGACTGAGAGAATGTGGCTATGTGAAAGTAAAACAGTAAAGGCTATTGTTAATGAGCAATTACAGTCAACTTCAAAACATACTTCCCCCAGAGTTTCTTAATGCCTCTTTGACTCTTCCTGTTCTCTGGTGAGACAGGGGACTGCTGTCCAGAGTCCACTCCAGAGGACAGAGGGGACTGGTCTGACAGAACGCACTCCTCTAGTTTCTCTGGACCCCCTGCCAGACAAAAACACAAGAATACAAGCACTGATACTTTGTTCAGCAAAGTAAAGACAAATCTGGGATCAGAGTGAATAATCTTTGGCTTGGCATGGACCACAAACATGCAGCTCAAAGTCAGAGCATACGTGTCCTGTTTCTTACATTGGCAGCCTATTTTACATGTCGTGCTGTCGTGCTGTAATAACATACAGCTTCATGAAAAGCACTGCAACTTTAAAGCTGCACTAATCAATATGGTTTATATTATCATTGTAAGTGACTCTGAGACCTACAGAGATTTATCAACTCTGCAGCTCTATCAGCTTTTTTGCCCCTTTTGTGTCATTGTTTTAGTTTCCTGGTGAGGAAGCTCTGATAAACCCACTGTACACTACCTGACCAGCATGAAACAGCAGACAGACACAGTTAGTGACTAGCTAGATATTTGGAGTTGGTGGAAACCAAAACAGAGCTCAAAGAGACTGAATATTAGACTTACATTCATCAGGTGGCCGGAAACATGACAAAAGGATGTTAATGTTGTCAACAATTTTAGCTTGTTTAACTTCCACCACATGTCCAATGAAAATCAATAAACGCAGCTTTTAATTATAACTGTCTTATAGAGTATCAGATCACTAGTTTTAGATCATTATGTTTATTTGAACTGTCCCAGCTTCACAGTGTCATAATGACACTTCAAAACATGTGCTGCAACAGGTTATCATTTTCTGGTCATTCAGTGCCCACCATGTGATGGAAATTGTACAGAGACTCTTGGCAGTCATTTAATACAACAATGCACCTAATAGTTCAGTTAGTTTTTCCCATGAAGCCTATTTGATTTGTCTTCTATGCTATATCCACTCACACTGCAACAGCTACTGGTACACCCTGGATACATTATTCAGTCAGCTGACTTCAAGCGCACTGATCTCAACAGGATGGAAACAGAATGACACACTGGGGTTGAGATGCAATACCCACCAACATCATAGAGGTCATGTTTCCCAGGAGATCCTGAGGCAGAGGAGGTTAGTGAAGTGGAAAGAAAGCAAGCAGACAGAAAGCAGAAGCGACCATTAGTCACACCCTCTTTATCTCCACAATGAATGTTGTATTCATGTCAAGTGTGTAAAGCAGCAACATGCAAATCTACAAGCCTCAGGCGGGTTCCAAAGTGGGCCAGAAACTCAGACAAGATTAAGTCTGCTTGTTTGAAACTTTTTTTTTCTACAGATACTGACAATGTGGGTGGCTTTCTGTTAGCCTTGAAGCTTGTCAGTGTACAAGCTGGATACGACAGGTCAGCTGGGCCAACAGGATGACCTAAAGAGGTCACATCCTGAAACATCCCCCTTAGTCAAAACCTAGAGGCTGAAAAGAAAATCCCCCTGGTGCTAGAACAAACTTCACCTCATTACATGTAGACGTGTTTTTATTCTACACCTGTTTACGTTGAGCACTTGCTCGACTTGCTCTTTCTCAGCGGCATCCTGCTTAGACAGTCAGTGAGAGAGTGCTGGGTGAGGCAGTGACAGCAAAGGGGGATGTCAGGTTGCATCCCTGTTTGTTTACTTTGGATGTCTAAGCTAGTTGAACTGCACACATCCTTAAGCTTGCACTCGTTGCCCTCTCACAGCCCTCTGATTAGCTCCTGCTCTGTGTAGGCCGATACATGGGTGGCTGTGTGCTTATATGCCTATTAGCTTTAAGTGTGTGTGTGTGTGTGTGTGTGTGTGTGTGTGTGTTTCAGTGAATGTTGATGCGAGGGAGTCGGGCATTATCTCCGACAGCTCTCTGAGTCATGAGGGAGTCCTAATAATCCCGGCTTTAGAGTAGCTTGATCCTCGGTGAATACAGCTACCCTGACTCTGCTCACCTGTGAGGTTTGGCTGTGACGGGGTCTATCTCGTTTTTGTTTAGGAGATATCTGACGGGAATGTTGTTTTTCAGAAGATGCTTGTTTATGATTTCAGACTCAGAGCAACAACATTAGCGAAGTGACTCAATTCTCCTGAAAGCGTATTTCCAATGTGTTCCAGTGTTTGAATTTCTGTGTGAGCATACAGTACCCAAAGCCGGAGCACTGGCACTCCTGCAGCGAACTGCAGCCAGAATGAAAACAGAGAAGAGAGCAATCCGACAGCAAAGCAGACAGGAGGAGGCGAGAGGGAGAAAGGGCACAAAAAAGGAAGCAGTTGGAGTAAAGTTAGTTGACAAAGTGTTATTCATCGGTTACAGCTTATTGAATTAGTTAGTACATTAAAAGGGTTCAAGAACATATTTTCCCACCTAACCTCTGTGGTATTTACTCATGTAGACAGTATCAATTTCAATTTGTCTGCTAGAGACTTCTACACAAGTGAGGTGAATGGAAGTTAATTTGTGGTGCTTTCAGCAGAGAGAAATGACATTTGAAAAACAGCGTCTTCTTTCAGAAACAGTGGGCCTCAGGCAAGAATATTTTTGTGTCTTTATCTCTAACTTCTTTTACTTTGTTCAGTGAGGTTTTCTCGTACGAGTGTTCCAATACAGTCAGTCAGAAACACCAAACTCTCTTACCTGTACAAAACTGTTATAAATTGCTCATTTCAACATAGAATACCTGATCGTTACGTGTTCATTAGCATAAATGACAAAAACCCACAAGTAAAAGAATTTTACAGAGGCGAGTTCTGCAGTCAGAAATCATTAGAAGAAAACAAAGAGATGAAATAGAAAGAGAACAAATTTAGCAGTATTGGTAATCGGGACCTGTCTCCGACAAAGTTCTTTGATCGAAGACTTAACCCTCGAGCTGGCAGACAGCCTGTGCTTGTTGCCCGTCAGCATGGGTCCTTTAGTTCAAGCAGTTCAGAGATGTGTTCCAGATGCTACAACAGTTTTAAAACATGCTCGAATTTTCTCGTAGCCCAAAATTGGACGCATTTGTAGTTGGGGCACCTTGGAAATGAGTCTGAGAAAAGAAAAGAGCAGTATCCAATGAAAGCACAGGGTAACCCAAGTATGTGCATTTAGACCTGAAAAACGGAAACAAGAGTTCTTACATGAGGCCCAGTGTCTCACTTACTCTGGATAATCCACAGACTTTACTGGCTAGCTTTTTAATTTGCTTTAAAAGGTGAAAATACAGACAAATTTTCCAACTACAGAAACTCACTGAGACTGTAGTCCTGGTCGTGGCTGTGGACAGGAGAAAGCCGGACAGGAGATAAATACTCTCCGTCTCCCTCTCTGTCGCCGTTCAGTTCAACCCTCAGCTCGCTCTTTTTACTTTTTAGTTTTCCCGGCAGAGTCTGGTACTTGCTCAACTCCATGTGGGGACTCTGCAGAGTATCAAAAACAAAACAGTGCGTTACTTTCTGTAGGTATCCAGCACCAAATTTAAAATAAATTATCATAATATGTGATGAAAGAATGGCAACAGAAGCCTACTAGCCTTTATAGGGAAGTATTCAAAATTAATTTATTCCTGCTTTAGATGAATGTTAATAGATAACTTTGAAGTTTGACTAAATTGGACACATTTTTCTTTTGGTAGTTATCAGCTTCTGAAACAACTGATTTACAGAGTTGTATGTATATTTTAGTATATCACACTTCCTCTTCATCTTTATACAGGCTAGCCAGTCTCATCTAAATATCTTTCATAAGATAACAGCGGAGTCCAACTCCTTTGCTCTGTTGCATAACAGAGTGTCCTTTAGAGGGTGAATGTCTGATGATGCCACTATCTGACCAGGCATCAAAGTCACCAGGGCTCTGAAGGAATAAGAGGAGAAAGGCCAGCAGAAAGAAACAGCTGGGAGGCACCCATGACGCAGAGCACTACTGACAGCCAATTCAGGTGGGTCTTGGCCCTTTATGCATGCGTGTGTGTGTTTGGCTATGTGTGCAGCACAAATATCTGTGGAGCAAAGAATATGTGAATGAGTACAAGGGCTGTGATCGCATAGGAGACATTTTTTCTTTTACTCAGAGGGAAAAATCAGCTGTAAACTGTGCTAGTCACACTGGGAACACAAGGTCAAAGGGCTCGTGGAGCATTACATCACTCTGTACTACACAACACAAAATCTCACAACAAGTTACATTCATAGTATTACCTGGTTAATCTTAGTTTCTAAATGGATTATAAGAAAAAATAATCTACATTTCAGTATCAATAGTCAGTTTAAAAAAAGGTATATCTGTAGGTATTTCATAAGAAGCACGAACAGTCATACATAAAGTATAAATGTACATTGTGTTTGTTTCTGTGGGTTAGGTGAAGGTTAGGTTATGTGAGGTCATGAAGCAGATCAGTACCTCTGCCCCTACATCTGATTCAGTTTCAACTGGCTGGAACTCTACAGCCTATAGCAAACAGACACAGGAGAGAGGAACGAACACACACACACACATACACACACGAAGTTAGCAGGTTAGCAATCACACAATCAGGTTAAAAGTATATCATAGTTTATTTGGAAAGAAGAAGTTAGTGTACATGTTGATCATGTATTTAAGAAGCAGCAGCAGATGTAGCAGGTTGGATTATATGTATAGATTAATTAAATTAGATTATAGTTACTGACCAGCGTTCATAAACAAGCTAATGGTTTGATTTGTACTAGCAAACCTTTTGTAAGGATCCACTCTGCAACTCTTCAAGACTGCTGGACAGCAACCTGCGCTGATGCCTGGGGAGAATAAACCAAACCAAATCATTCCTATTTAACTTAGCACACATATGATGACTGCCTACACTTTTGAGTTGAGTGAAAGCGACATTTCATTTGCACTGTCACACAAACACAAGAAGCTTCTACTTACCATGAACCATTAACAAAGCTTATGTCCCCAGTGGACACCAACGATGTGTCCATAGAGTTCTGGATGCTACAACAGATGGTGCACAAGGGCTTAAGATTTAAAGCAAGTAGTGAGATGTGTTTGCGTGCATGTGTATTTTGAATGTTTATACCTTGATTCCAATTCTCTCTGGTAAGGAGATGAGGATAACATAAGTGGAGAAGACCCTCTTGATGACATCTATGCAGAGACAAAACATGATTTTGTTTTTCCAGTTCTTCAGGCAAAATATCAAGAGTTCATTTAGGGGGAAATCATTTTGTTAGAGGTTGCATAAAAGGTCATATACTTCATCATCTTACCTCTGACCTGAGGATATCAGAGTGTGCTTTGTGTGTGACGGCCCTGAGTCTTAAACTGCCACTCAGCTCCTCTTCACTACTCCCTGGATCGTAAAAAAGCAAATATTACAGCACCATTACAAAATAGGAAGGTACCTTGTCAAGTGTTTGTTAAATTGAAAACTCATATTTCAGGAAAGAAAAGTAATTCTCACCCTGTGTCAGGGCCATGACCTCCCTCATCTTTCTGTACTGGCTAAGCAGGATGGTCAGCTCCTCTATACGTCGATCCTGTTATCAGCAAGACACAAAAGAGTTAGGCTTTTGTAAATCAAGTAAAATGATAGGTAAGAAAACTTTCATAACATGAAAATGGTTTAATTTACCTTTTCATCATTTGAAGCTAGCAAAGACTCCATCCCCACCTTCAACCTCTGGTATTCCTGGTCTAACAAAGAAAAACGAAACATTTACGTTACATGTTATTTTGGACTCAAAATAACCTCATGTCCTGTTTATTTAGAGCACCTGATGCAATGTTGGTGACAGACATGACAGCCATGCTAATATGAATAAACAAGCAAAACAAATACACAGTGACAGCGCGACTCCCCATACATATCACCTGGGACAAACACTGCAGCTTTTATGACGATATAACCAGTGTTGTGTGTAACAACGGTCCCAACACCAACACAACACAAGAGTTCTCCTCTGGATTCCTATAAGTTTCAAGCAACACAATATGCACACAAAACACACACACACACACACACACACACACACACACACATACACACACACCACCTGGGCGAGATGTAATTCAATATCCTTTCAAACACAGAAACTTTTCTTAAAGGGGTCCTCCACCAATTTTTACACATAAAGGTCAGTTTAGGACTCTGTCTGTGAGTATATACATTTAATGTCTTCTGTGGCTTTGACAGAACATTGACAAGTCTGTGAGAATAACCCAAATTATGTCATCAGGATCATCTCAGCTTGGGCTGGTGTTTGAAAAACGTGGGAGCTTATCTGGTAAGGAGGGTCGAATGAAAAAGATGCTAATGGTTGCATTGTGGGAAATGTGGGAACCAGTGTTTTTGGAGTGTGACCCATACTAAGCACTATATCTCAGGAAATCTTGCAGATACTACTGCATTGATGTTGACTATTCCTTTCTTCCTTCTCTGGTGAGCCACCCTCTCTTATGGAAGCACAATACAAAATTGCTGGAGTAGCCCTTTAAGATTTAGGCTTATTTGCAGTGGAGCCCAGGCAAACCAAAAGAGACTCAAGCTAAAATCCGATGTTAGATTGCACTGATGTACATAGAGGTTTATACGCACTGATACCACGGCCACTGAGAATTCTTGACTTTCATTGGCTGGAAGGCGTGGATGAGAAGACAGTATAACTGGACACCTATGACGCAGGTGTTCGGTTTATAGTATTTTATTTATTTATTTATTTATTTGATTGTAGGTAAAGACAGCAACAACAGCGCTTAGCTAAAAAGCTTGGAGCTAGTGTTATGAAAAAAGAAAGAGATAAATAGATTCTTAATGACAGCCACGCAAATTTTTGATATGCGTGTGAATCTGGGCATCCACATCCAAATAGGACGCTAGCTAAGGTGAAGGTAGTAGCCTGAGAAGAGAGAGGACCAAAAGAGAAGATAAAGAAGATAAGGAGATGAGGAGAAGTCACAGGTGAGAGGGACAGAGAGACAGTGATAGAAAGTGGCTGCCTGTGTCTGCGACAGAGGAAGACAGTCTGGGTAAGAGAGAGAGAAAGAGAGGGAGAGTAACATAACTGTAACTGTGTAACATTATCTCTGCTCCAATAACATTGCGTAGCAGGCTGCAGAGTTATTCTCCGTTCTTGAGATTGAGAGCAAATGGTCCAGCCATATGGCATTTTGTTAGCCATAGTATAAGCGGGATAATACCCTTCAAGTATGTACACTCCATGTTGCACTGCCAGCCAGAAGTTTTGAAAGGATGTAGAGTCTTACTGCACTTTGGTTAAGTGAAGCTAGAATGTTTACTACAACCAACACAAACTGAAACTAAGCTGTGGTCCAATCTGAAACCAAACACTCTGCCACCAGTCACCCGATTAACACACTACTAAGGTTAAATTTAAAGTAAATAGAGTACTTCGCTTAAAATTTAAAGTGACCACTTGCTGGTTATGTTTCGGGTTCGTTGAGATTTGAGCCAAAATCACAGTTGACAACAATATACAGAATAAATTCTTGAAATTTCTTATGACAAAAACTGAAAAATCAAGTGGCTGTACAGGCAGAGGAGTTTGGTTAAAAAATTAGACCCAGACCAACAGCACACCATGCCTTACATTTGTTAATCAGCTGCTTGATATACACCTCCTCTACAGCAGAGGGCAGCAGAGAGTCAAAAACAAGTCAAGTATACAGCAGAGGAAAGAGGGACATGTTGATTAGATGTTACAGTAATCAGAGTTGACAGACATGCATATCGCTGGCTCTCACGCACACATCCGCACTGACAGATGTGGATCTGAAGTGATTGGTCAGACTGTCAGCTTTGAGTACCTCTCTCTGCGTTGTCATTGGCTGTGCCGCCTCTGGCCAGCAGCTGGGTCTGCAGGCATTCGATCTCAGCGTCTTTGGAGGCCAGGAGCTGCTGCAGCTCTGAAATTTCTGCCTGTGGAGGAAGACAGAGTGCATGTCTATGAACTGTGTCAGTCTTCCAGGTCATTGGAGGACCTAAGGAGTTTAAGTCTTAGGCAACTGGACTTACAGCGTCCTCTTAAAAACAAGTGTATTTTCTCACATATCAACCAAAAACCCACCCATCTACATACAGCTGCCAATACAAGACTACATCGGCACTCTGGGACAAGGGACACTCCTCCGAGGACAGAAAACTACTACTTGCTAAAAAACGTTTCGTGCAATTCACTGGAACCTCCATACCTGAGATGCTGTCCATCATCAGTTCACATCTCTACTAATGTGGCGTTTATGACTCATGTGGCTGATATGTAAGGGCTGGGTCTCTCTTGCAGCAGTGTCTGGGAAATTTCTTTTCCTCCTATCATCACTTCAACCCACAAGACTTATGGATTAAAGAATTCCTGTCACCTCTCTACTCTTAGCGACTGAATAATTGCTCCCCCCTCCCCCCCAAAATAATTTCACTTCTCACAATTTAGCACTTGCACCTCTGGTTAACTCAACTGCTAAATTTAGTTGGTCACCTAGTTTTTGAGCTTGTGATTTTACTTGCACCCAGTTTAAGGTAAACAGAAGGCGTGGCTTGATTTCTGACGACCTAATCTGAGTTGAAGATGAAAAGATTACCACATACTAGGAACACAACTGCTGAAGAAAGACAGTTGCAGACAACAGGTGTCAGAAAACAGGTGTGTGCACAGACTTGCACGTTTACAATAGTGGTCCGCTATAAATGCAAACACCTCTTGCAGCGGCCTCAATAAAAGCCTAAAGGCCAAAGAAGCCTACAATAGAAGCACAATAGAGTATTTAAGTGAGCAGATACAGAACAGGGTGAAGAGTTATGGTATGGACAATAGCTTGAACGGTTTTCTGCATGTTCTTAAATAATGACATATTTCCCATCAGTTTGGTCTGCACTAAGTTCTACAGAGCCTACAGTCCATTACACTTACAACAGCATCAGCCTGCTGGGGTCGTCACTCAGAGCAATTACCATAAATCACAATAATTATCTAATCTGGGTAGTATTTCAATTAAATACATACACATCACAATCATATTGATTTACATTATCCATGCAAACAGTCATAAAAAGAGACAGAAAGGGAGAGACAATCAGAAGCAAACTGCTTCATTTGAGGACATCTACCTTGTTCTTGTCAAATCAGAATGTTTCATATCAAATTTTTTCCTCTGTCTCTCTAACTGTCTCCCGTTCCTTTCAACTTGAACATTTGTGATTTGTATGGAAAGTTCAGCCATCACAATACCAAAAAAAAAGCAAAACAAGGACAATCAGGAGGAGGAAAAGTAGAGCTGCAAGCACAAAATAAGGAAATTAGGAAGAGGAGGAGGACGTGGAGAAGCATAAGCATTGGTGTGGAAAAGTTAGAAAAGGAGGAGGACAGTGGAAAGCAGAGTAAGGAAAGTACTAATCAGAGGAAAGCAACAAACACGGAGTAGCTACAAGCAAGAAGAGCAAGAGGCAGAAGAGGAGGAGGAAGAGGAGGCACCTGTGCGCTGCGCCAGCGCTCCTCCCACTGCTGCTTCTCCAGCTGTGTGTGCTCCACAGTCAGCTTGAGGCTGGACAGCTGGGTCATGAGCGACTGGTAACACACATGGAGAGAGTAAGAGATAGAGAGCTAGAGAGAGCAGAGACACAGGAAGAGGGTAATGACGGGGGGTGAGAGTTAGAGATGAGAAGAAAGAAGAGTGGGGAAAAAAGGGAAGAGAGCAAGCCGCAGAGAGGGATTAGAGAAGAGAGGATATAGATACAGAGTGGGGGAGGGAGAGGAGGAAGGAAGCACTGTAAGCACAGAGAAAGCAATGGCAGTTTGACCACCTTCAAATTAACCAACGAACAATATGTTAGGACAGAGATGCTTTTGTCATTATTTTAATCTCTAGCACAGACTTCAGACTTTCTAAAAATACAACATATCTCAGGCTGACTTATGGGAAATGTGTATAAAATAATAATGCTGCTGGTGATGGCTTCAATCAAGTTTCAATAAAAAGTCCATCCATCGTCAACCGCTTATCCTGCGTACAGGGTCGCGGGGGGGCTGGAGCCAATCCCAGCTGACATTGGGCGAAAGGCGAGGTACACCCTGGATTCAATAAAAAGTGATTTAGATTTAAAGAAAAACAAACTTATATATATAAGTATATTTTTTTAAGTAAATGAGAAATTTAACAGGTTAGATCAGTAAGCGAGGTAAGAGAAGTGTCAAGCTTTAATTAAATAGATTAAGGTGACGGAAGTTCACATAGTCCACATGACAAAATAATAATCTTACAATTGCAATCTTATTTGCATCATGGCATAGTGGTGCTTCATTTCCTCACTAGATGTTTTTGTAATCAGCCATCTCACTCTGCAAAAATGTGAAATATACACTCGTGTGTCAGCTGCAGGCCAAGGATAGCTGGTTGTTAGTCATAAATTAAATTACTTACTGCCACTTTAGTTTTCTAATCTCAGCTCAGTCTTTCACAGACTTATTTTGAATTTAAAAAAGTATTACTACATGTAATGATCTCTCCGTTCATACAGCTGCTCTGCATTCACAACGATACATTCCCTTTCTAATATACACGACATTTAATAATTGTAACCTGGAAACTAAAAGTAATAATTCCACATTTTGAGAAATAGGCCATTTTGCTTTCTTGCAGAGTTTGATGCTCCATGCTCATTAACATAATGTTAGTGCTAGACCGATAAATCTGCCGATTACAGAGTTTGTCCAACAGAGAGCTTATTAAATGTAGTTTGTATCTGGGACACAATTTGAAAAATCTAAGGAACCGTATCAAGTTTACTCTTTTAATTTAAATATACGTTTATGTTTAAAAAAACATTATCTGCTAATATATCATTATTGAATCCAAATAATGATATCAGTTTGGGCCTCAAAAATCCAGTATCGGTCTGTACAAAAACAACAAGTAGTGGTTTTACATGGTTGCAGTAACTTCCTGGAGTCTCTGCTGCCTAGCAACCTCACAGTGAGGAAATAGTTGAGGAAGCGAGTTTCCCAAAATGTCTATTCCTAGTACACGTTTTTTGGCTATTTAACTAAAACACAAAGTAAGACCTCTATGTATATTTGTGTAACCAGTTCAAGTTGGCTGATGTGCGACATGTTGGTTTAACAACTACCTTGGTGCCTCTTAGTTTCCTCTCGTACTGGCATTTCTCTCCCTCCAGCTCCTCCACTTTGCTCTTCAGCTGTTTCACTTCTTGTAGCAAATCCTGCAGAAAAATCAAAACACAGCATCTTACTTCATATGTCCTTTTCAAAGCCAGATTCAGTCACAGAGGTGAGTCGACCTTCTTGTGCACAAGTATTCTGAAATTCTGAAAACTAAAAAACTCTGAAAATGACATCAATCACATCTAAATATCAGAATCAACAACATTACTGAACTGTGCACATGCCAACACAAACATGGGAGGGAATTCAAACGTCAGGTTCACATTCAGTGCAGTTATAAAGGTCTCCAGGGCTGTACAGTACAGTGGTTAATATAGGAAACATGATCCTCCTGAAACAGACCACAGCGTGCAGTTATCAACCAGGAAAAGGATGAACCTGAGGACCCAGAACAAGACTGAAAGCTGTCCAGGCTGCACATCTGCCAGCCGCACATTGCCATAGTCTGAGTGAGACCTTGTACAGCATTACATACTATTATAGGAACAGTTACATGACCCATCCACCTGGTCAGTGTAGGAGGAAGAGGAAAGATGTAAACTTGTTAGTAGAGGGAGGAACCACTGTCATGCAAGCAAACCACATAAAATCAAATAAACACACAATGCCTGATCCAAAACCCAATTTCAAAGGATTTATAAAGACAAAATCTAGACTGCAGCTGAAATATGTTTTTCCAAATGCTTCAAATACTTGAAGAGAGAGAGGGGGCAGAGAATGTTTCTGAGTTACTATGCCATCTACCTGTCTACAATAGGTCACGCTACTTGTAGCTATTGTAGGGCTCCTTATTTTACCATGTCACTGACTCAGCTTCGATGATCTTAACACCCCATTAAATGTATGGAAGTATTTGGAAAACCAATCAAAGTCTCTGATTATATTTTGGCAAGAGCCAGAGTAGAGCATGACCCCATCATCCTGCAGTGCACACACAGACACTCTGCAGACACACTACAAGAGAGTTTGTTAGTTTGATTCTGTGGAAATTTCCAAATACCGGATGGAGTGTGGACTGGTTAAAAAGGTAGAAGATAAGAAGAGAAGAAATGATGGGGGAGGAGGGGAAGATGAGTTCATCCATCAAGTCTCCCTACGTGTACAGTCTGTCCTCCATTGTGCATCCGGACATCAGAGCCAGACAGGCTCAGGTTCGAGCCAGCTAACCCGACCGGAGGGCTGTTGCCCCGGGCTTGGCTGCCTCCGGGCTCCCCCCGCTGGGCCTCCCTCTCCTCCAGGGCCCGTTTCTCCTGGATGCGGGTGCTGATCTCCTCCTGAAACCTGCACATCTGCTCCTGGAGCTCACTGATGAGATTTACCACACACTGGGAGGGATGGAGTGATGAAGGACAAATGAAGGGCAGCGGAAGAGTGAATTGGTGAGACAAAGAGAAAAAAAAAAGGGGAAGGAATAAAAGCGAGAGGAGAGGAGAGGTCAGACATGAACTTATTTGTTAATCTACTCAGTGTTTGGGAATGTCTGTTCTATATCTCGATGACTGTTGGCTGTTACTGAGGAAACTCAAAACATCACAACACAAAAATCAGTACAAGCAAAATAACTTTTTGAACTTGAGAACGAGGAGGTTGGAAGAATCCTAAAAAAGCTCCTGACAGGAGATGAACATTACATTATTATCAGAAGGTCAAACGACACACAACAATGCAACATACAATGCCCTTGAGGAACCCAAAAGCAGCCTCCCTTAATACAAACACATTATTTTAGCATGACTTTTATTCAGAGTGGCCAAAATCACAAATCTGTTTCAGAGGCCTTTTACAGGTCTGATGGGACTGATTTACAGTAGTTAAAGGTTAAACACTGAAAAGAAAACTCCTACAAGCCCAGTTGTCATATGACCTATGCCACATCTTGTTTTTGACTCGCACAAGCACAACATGTTATCTCAAAACATTGTAACGTAGCCACTCACAGCTGTCATAATAATAATTCTATTGGCCGATACACTATATCTCTATTAGATTTTTTTACTCCCAATTATCATTATCGGCATAAAAAATGCAATATCGGCCAGGCTATAGTTTCTACACTGAGCTTCCAAGAGATCACTGGTCAATTTAACATGGATGTGCACCACCAGTGCTCCGAAGGAATGCATGATAAAGACAGAGGGGTTCATAAACTTGTGGGACTAAAAACAAGTTTGTGTGTCGTCTTTATTGGTTTCTCTGTAGATGAAGTTTGAGCTCTTTTCTTTGTTTTATCACCCTTAGTGGCTGCTGATGTTCATGTTACTCACATCCCAGTGAAGCACAATATTTTACATAGGAAGATATCTACCAGGCAGCCTCAGATTCCACACAATGGTGTCAATAAATCTGACTTTGTTAAAAAGTACAGCTCTCAGTTCTCTCCCAGAGTACACTAAATGATGTTACATGTCTTTCAGTGGACCATTAGTGGCTCTTAAACCTCTCCATAATAGCCCCACCCTGAACCAGAACGATGACCCAGAATTTAGACCAACGGAGACAGGAAGAGAAGACAGAGGTACTGCAGACAGACAGAGAGGAACAACAACGTTGAACAGGTAGAATGCACATATTGTTTTTTTTATGCATTTCTACAAATGAATGTTTTAAATCATGTCTATGGCCAGAGAATGTCATAACTCTTGTGAAACCTTTCCAAAGCTAGTGACATAAATCCAAAAATGCATGGTCAACAATTTCAAAAGCTTGTTCCTGAAAAAGGTGTTAGTATTTCAGTGTTCACCAGACGGCAGTGAGTTTGTGTGTGGTGTTGGAGTGGTTTCCTGAGGTGAAAGTGTTTGGCCCTCAGGAATGCTCAGAATGGATGCCTGTCATTCCTCCTGCCAGCCGACCGGAGCCTCGCAGCTGTTACTAACCACACACACACACACACACACCCTCACTTTGCTGACAAAAATGTAGACTGCTGTCAGTTGCAAATGTAACGTGACCAAAGTAAAACACCACTGCTGTACATCGGATATGTTGGATTTGGGTGTGTACGTATGTGTAAAAGACGAGACACAGTATCTCATTACTACACCAGCTTGTCAATGTTAAAACAGCTCTGTTGCAATTAGTCACTGAGCGGACGCTTTTATCCAAAGTGGCTTACATTTGCAATATGTGTCAGAGGTCGCGCGCCTCTGGAGCAAATGTCTTGCTCAGGGACACATTGGTGGATGTCAAAGGCATGTGTCTTATCCACTGCTCCATCGCCAGTGGATAAAACTCTATAAAAAACAAAGAGGCAGGACTGATGTTGAGATTTAGGTGGAGGAGCCTCGGGCTCAGAGAAGCAGCCTTGTGATCCCTGAATCAGACTAAAGGAAATGAATGAGTGCAGCTCTTTCTTCACTGAATAAATCACTAGTGAAGGGCCCCTGAGCCTGCCATGTGACTTCTGTCACAGTCTGACAGTGAAAGAAGGGTGCACAGATAAAACTCCTCTCTCTAGGACAAATACCTGACAAAATGAATACTGTTACCAAACAACGATCTCAATTATGATTTCAAACTACCTCCCAGGATCAAGAACACAATAGACAGCAATGAAAGACAGTGATTGTTTTTAAGAATTGCACACCGTCTTATTTTTAGGCGCTAATGGCCCGGCTTTAGGGAAGGCAATGTTGCTTGGTCGGTCAGTTCACTGCTTTGGTTACACTTGCTATTAACATGTAATCTGTATATGCATACGTTATCTGAATAATGAAATCTGTTCCACAGGCCTTTGCATTTACACCCGGTATCAACGAGTGTTCCTTTTATCTCTCTTTTGCCTACGTTGTGATTGGCTCTTGCAAATTAGTTAGGCGGAATGGCAAACCCAGATCAAGATAAGCATGGACCGATGTCATTCACTTTTTGTGAGACTTGCTAGCAACTTACAGGGGTGGCTGTGGCTCAGGAGGTAGAGCAGGTTATACAGACCATTTATTGCTACACTTGTGGCTTTTGCTGGGCTTGCTTGAATTAGCAAGCATCTGGCCAACTTGATGTGTTGCATTTACACCTGGCTGAGATCCGAGCCAAATATGGTGATCCGATCGCTTTCTGATCCCAGTGGGCTCTGCATTCAATTACACCTGGCATTAACATGCGTTTTTACTTCACCTGATAAAGTATCCAGATCCAGATCGTATGTTAATGCCAGCTGTAAATGGGATTTCTGGGCCAGACTGAAATATCTCTTTCATAACTATTGATAGATGACGGATTACCATGACATTTCGTACCGATGTATGGTCCCCAGAGGATGAAGCCTACTGACTTTAATGATCCTCTGACTTTTCATCTAGCACCACCATGAGGTAGACATTTGTGGTTTTGTGTGAACAACTATTGGATGGATTGCCATGCAATTTGGTCAAGACATTCCTTAGGATGAAATGTAATAACTTTGGTGATTCCTTAACTTTTCCTCTGGTGCCATTATTATTTCAACACTTTTTAATAAATATGTGCGAAACAAATGACTTTCCCTTTGTGTGTAGCGCTAGTTTGAAAATGTTAGCATGTCAACACACTAAATTAAGATGGTGAACATGGTAAACATTATATCTACTTAGCATCAGCTAATAAGCATTGTCATTATGTTAGCATGCTGACATTAGCATTATTCAGCAATAGTCTCACAAAGCCACTAACATGACTGTAGATGTCTGTGTTAAAGGCTAATTCCAGTTTATTACAACTTGGGCATTGTCTTAATTGAACATTTCTATTGGTAATAACAATTCTCAACAAACTAACAGCCGTGATGTGGGAATTTGGCAAAACTGGTAAAATGAGGTCAGATGGGTCCAGGTTTTCCTGTACAATGACGGATTATTTATGGAATTTCAGGTGTACTTTCAGTTTTACCTCCAAATAAAGAGATTTAGATCAGTAGTTCTCAAAGTGGGGTCCGAGGACCCACAGGTGTCCATTAAGGTATTCCAGGGGGTCCCCAGCAAAAGAAAAATCATTATTTTCACTATAATTTTATCCAAAAGTAACACAATGATAGAAAATATGACATTTGGGGTCATTGAATTCATTCACTTTCTGCAATAAAACATCTAAAAGCAAAAGTCCTTTCAGGAGGGGTGACACTGGTGACACAAAATCAGAACAAAGGGGGGTGACCTTGACATGAAAAAGAACCACTGGTTTAGATAATCTGTCTAAACTGTTGATTGTTTAAAACCTGTCTGGTTGTTTGATTGTTTCTTGCCCTGTCTGACATTGTTTAGTCAAGCTCATGTTCCTAGATCTCCTAGTATAATAAGTAATATCCCAAACCACAGAAATACATTTACACACTGCTCAAAAAATTTAAGGGAACACGCACATTAGGTGTTTAATTCATAATCTTAACTGTACATTGTATAATTTGTTGACATAAAAGTCAATAAAAAACCTCTGAGGCAAGGCATAGTCCTACACCAGGGGAACCCCGGGCCCACTGCACCAACATAAGGTCCGACAATGGTTTTGAGGATTTCATCCTACCACACTACCACATGGAGGTCTGTGCGACCCTCCATGGATAAGCCTCCCCAGACTCTCCTTGTGTAATAGCCCCTCTCCCAGTTCTGGGGGTTGTTGTCTCCAGAGCACCTGTTGTCACTTATATTTGTCGCAAAACAGGTGACATTGATTCATAATCACTTATGCTTCCTAACTGGACAGATCGATTGATGTTTCACTGTGATGATTAAGTGTTCCCTTTTTATGAGCATTAGTGATCCACAGTGCCAAAACACCACAGCAACAAGTGCTTCTTTGCATGTCACTGAAACTGATACATTTAAGGATTTTTACCAGTTTATTTTCAAATGTGGCTTCATGGATGGGAAAAAATGTGAAATCAACTGCTAAGATACCTTTCCTTTGTGTTTTCAAGTTCAGCCTTGTTTCTACATGAGCTTTGCAGAGGCAGAAAATGTTACCAGAAGAGTCAGATCCCGCTTTGGTTATCTCACAGATGTTGCTGACAGTTAGGTCCTGAGGGACTTCTAGTGTGGATGTCCTGCATGTTCACTTTGTGTGTGAGCCTTGCAGGGCAGAAAACAATATTTCCACAGTACATCCTGTCATTTCATATCTTTTCATCTGTCTGTCACTGTCTCTCATCTTATCCCTCTGCTTCCTCTCTTCCTTTTCTCTCCGTCTTCTGTCCCCTCTCTCTCGTTGAGCCCTCTCCTCACCGCCGCTCCCTCTCTTGTCTACTTCCGCTGATGCTTATCATGCTCCATCCATGTGTGTATTCAGAACATGAGCTTCTGTGTCAAAAACGCTCTATCCTGTTTATTCAATCGAAGCACGGCCCTGGGTGCTGGATGCCTTGTGATAGCTTTACACACACGCACACTCACACACGACCACAAGAGCAGCATCTTCAGTATCTTGTGGTGCCAGTGGAGAGCAGCTGGATGTCACAATGAACAAAGTCCACACAAAGAAACTAGTGAAGACAGGCAAAGACTGCTCAGCTAGACTTAGGTGGAGTGTGCTCTTAGGTGGGTATTGTACTTCTAGTGGATAAAATGCAGTTTTGGGAATCTGAGACACCTATTCCACAAAAAAAAGAAAAGAAAAATCCTGTGTGGAAAAGTGTGTTTTTATTAGTGGGGTGTTTAGGGTGGCCTTGTTGAGTACACTGCAAAATATTTTAATTCTAACAGGCCAATATCTGTAGCTGGGCAAATTTTTTGACAGTTTTGCTTGTGAATTTTCTTAACACCTTCATTTCAAATCTTAAATTTGTCTAACATTACACATGATTGATTTATTAATTTCAATATTAATAACAATGTTTTATTAATTTATTAAATATTCATGATTAAATCAGCAGCAGTCAATGTTAAAGTTTTGAAAAAAAAAACATCCTTCAATGTAATTAGTAACGGTTTAACACTCACTGTGTTGGTGTGGTTTGATCAGCTTTCATTGACAGTGGCAACATAAACAATCAGATTTGATTCAAATGTTGTTAAACTCACAAACACAAAAAATACTTTGTGAGATTGCAAAAAGGCCTTTACAGTAAAAGACAGTAGTATTCTATTTTAAGGATCATAAAACTTTACTCAACACTCTAAATGTTTATATGACTTTTTACAATATTTTTTGTAGAGTTGACTTTATAGTTTGGTGTCAGCTGTCTGTCTGGCAGGCCGTCTGCTGGTGGTTAAAACTGTCTGGAGAGACTGTGTAATGTGTTCTGGCTTGTTTTAGAGCCTTGACACTGAAGCTTGAATCGCATCCATTCACATTATTATTACCTCAGCTAGTGAAGTTGGATGGGGTGGGGCACATTTTCACAGTTTGTGTGTTTATTATTTGGGTGACAGATCTGGTTGCAATATGGTGTTGGGATAACCCTTCATCAACAGATCTGACTGGATGTTTTTGGATGATTTAGGCTTACATAGTGCTGCTGAAGAGTGGTGGGAAAGCCCAATGTGTGTTGTTGATAGGTTTAATAGAAACACTAAACCTGAAAGACAACAACTACCACAACTTCACACTGCAGACTGTTTTGAAAATGGGAGCCAACACTGGAGTTTCTACTGAAAGCTGAAACCACTTTTCATTTTATTATGAGTGGCACAAAGAACCAGAACAAGTTTCAGCTTTTTCTGTGGATCATCCAGGATTTTGCTTTTTGTTCCCCTCTACAGTAGCAGGGACAAAATATAGCAATTGGTAAGTTGGTTGGTCAGTTCGTTGGGTTGTTTGGTCTATTCAACGCTGGTCCAAATTACTTTAAGGGGAGCTGTTAACATCAGTCTGTTTACAGCTGTTGGTGAGTACTACGGTGTATGTGAATAAAATTTGCATAAAGCCTGTTGTGGCTCCAGAGGGATAAACTGCCTGAAGTGGGGCCAACGACCCCACTGAGGTTAAATAGCTGAGTTTCCCTGCCAGTCAGTCAGAACTGAAGAAGTCCTTTGGATGAGGGATGAAACGTCTTCCAGTATCTTCAACCAAGTACAGTTGCCCTTGATTTTAACCTTCGTTGGATGCCTGAAGTGATGCCACTTGAGTCAGCGTCAACTGGCGCTGAAGACTTTTAGTTTGAAAATGAGAAAATTCAGGGGGTGTGGAGTCAGAAACAAGTGAGCTCGCCAGACCTATGTAGCCCGGTCCTCACCGCTGCTGGAGGCTAGTGGCTACATTAGCCGATAGAAAATTGGTATGGTTATTCATGCATATTTAGCATTTTAGTAATAATAATAATAATAATAAGGCCCTTTTTTAGTTAAAATGTACCAGGGAATACTACATATTTTTTGTAACAAAAAGTCATTTTAATCTGTGTTCCCAAATATCTAATGGGTCCTGTTCTGTGTCTTATTTTGAATGGGGTTGTAGTGGATTACTGAGGCCACAGCAGCCAGTGGTTAATGTTGTTACTACTCCTTTTGGCTCAGAGTCAATAAAAACACTGAAAACACACAAACTGAAACACATCATTATACAGCATGTCTAAGAGTAACAAGAGCAGCCCCATGTGTCCCTACATAATCCCAGATGGAATGTGATTGTTTTCCTTCAGCTCGGTCACAGAAGACAAGATAAATTTTCCAATAGTCTCTTTTTCAGCATGTGTTATTTTATGTTTGGAATGGGGAAGACTGTCTTATTATGTCTCGTTTCAACAGCAACGGAAAAGTATCTGCATAAATTTTTAAAGTTAGCCATATAGGGCTGTGGAGACTGAACCACTAGTTAGTGCCATTGTTTTACCCATAAAGGAATGCAGGATCAAAAAACTAAAGCATGTTTTTAGGGATGGGCAATATGAAAACAAGACAAAGAGACTACAGCCATGCTACTGTAGCAGCTTTGCGAGGCTGTACGTAGCACAGAGGTGCTTTGAGCTAACTTCAGCATACAAACATGCTCACAATGACAATGCTAACCTGCTGATGTTCACCATTGTTTAATAAGTAAGCATGCTAACATTTGCTTATTAGTGCTATTATTTTTGCAGGTATATGACCATGAACAAGTTTTTGACAACTCAAATTTTGACCCTCTCATGACATTTGATAAAAAGTTGCAGTAAGGGATCACCAAAGTCATTACATTTCTGATTCATGAATTTCATGACAATCCATCCATTAGCTGTTGAGATATCATTCTGTACCAAAGTGGTGACAAACAAACCAGCGTTGCCATCCCCAGATCTTCGCCACTAGTGTAGCTAAAAATCTACCCTCAGTAACATGATATCACAATAATGTTACATACATTATGATATTTCAGTCTAATTGAGAAACAGTTTATAGATACAATAGCCAGATAGGAATGTCACTTTTTTGGCTAATAGACAGAATGCAACACCTTATAAATAAACATTATCACTCTCTAAAAAATCTTGTTAACCCAATATTGCAATGTTTCATTATTGCAATAACACAACATTGCCAATAATGGCCTAATAAAGCCATTTATACTGTATAAAGGGAGAGGTATATTAAATGGTTTATAATAAAATCATACAAAAATCGTCTCATGTTAGATACAGTATGGTCATATTATCAACTTTACACAGGATCAAAATAATGTGTGTTATAGGATACTCCTATAAGGAAACTAGAGGAAACATTGAAACGCTCTAATTCATCCCAAAGGTGTTCTATTGGGTTGAGGACAGGACTCTGTGTAGGCCAGTCTCGTTCTCCACACCAAACTCGCTTATCACTGTGCAGAGGATGAATCTTGCTACATGTATGTGACAAATAAAGTACCTTTACCTTAACATGTGCTGACTCCGCTCTGTGAATTAATGTGGCCTGCCACTTTGTGGCTGAGCTTCTGTTGTTCCCAATCACTTCCACTTTGTTAGAATACCACTAACAGTTGACCGTGGAATATTTAGTAGTGAGGAAATTTCATAAATGAACTTACTGCACAGGTGGCAACCTATCACTGTACCACTGAGCTCCTGAGAGCGACCCATTCTTTCACAAATGTTTGTAGAAGCAGTCTGCATGCCTAGGTGCTTGATTTTATACACTTGAATTCAATGATTTGGAGGGATGTCCTAAAACTTTTGGCAATATAGTGCATATGCATATATGCAGACCAAACCTCTACACTGTTTCACAATGTTACTGTCTATCAACCAACTGTATATATAACCTATGTGCATATGTTAGGTTATATACTGTCTATGTTGTTATGCTCTGCATACTTTCCAAATGCATTCATACTGTACATCCATCCTTACATCTGCACTTTCTCTGTCCTCTTCTTCTTTTCTATATGTTTTTAATATATTCACATTTACTGTATTATATCTGTATAAGGAAACGCCATTAAACATATTATAGGATACAGCATAACTTCACTCATCTGTAAAAACACTATTTCTGCATCTATGGTTAGATGCTGACTGCATTTCATTAGCTCTGTACCTTTACTCTGCATAATGACAATAAAGGTGAATCTAATACAGGCTGAAACTTTTCCCTGCTGCAGGGTCCTCTGCCCATGGCAACTTAAATACAAGACACATTTCAGTCAATCATTCCTGCATCCATTAAACAACAGTTCTGGTATTGTTGAAAAAAGTTGAGCAGCATTTGCTCTGTAAAACACACACACACACACACACACACACACACACACACGCAGTGTTTGTTGACTTTACATACCTCGGCTTTGTTCTGCTCCGTTTCCGTGGGATCTTGTGGGTGTGAGTTGGCGTTTGTGTCCTCCATGCTGACCAGCTTCAGTTTGAGGTACGATACCTCGTCCATCAGATCCAGCTTCTGAGTCTCCAGAGAGGTCCTGCTCATCAGCTCCTGGGAAAAAACACACACAGACACTGTAAGTTAGATGCAGGGAAAACAACACTTGAAAAGCTTTTACAAACTGCACCCACAGAAAAAGTCAAACACACACATATCAGCGATCAACGCAAGTCAGCATGCTACTCCACCGGGTGCAATGTTCTTCCCACACTAACAGAGCAGGCCAGGCTGGGGGCCCAGACCCCGCTAAGCTAAATATACTCACTCACACACAGGCGAGTTAGGGACTCTATTAATATATCTCTGTGCTTCTTTGGTATGGGACAGAGAAAAAGAAAGTGTGCCTAAATGAGAGAGAGAGAGAGAGAGAGACAGAGAGAGAGGGTATGCTAGCCACTGAACATGAAGTGTGTTTCTACTGACTCACACAAAACACACCAACTTCCAGTGTGTCTGTTGCTTTCGTTTCCTCATCTAAACTACTTCTAATTCCACTTCCTCTTCTCTAAACTCCAACTTATATCACCTTTGATTGTTATTTAAGCCTCTGACATCCATCTTCAGATAAACATTTTTAGGGGAAATGGAAAATACAATGAGCCTGCAAACAGTTTGTCCACTAGTTTGATAGAGCAGCTACAGGTGGTGCAGAAAGCTTTGGCCCCGATTCATCCTTCTTGCTGTCCATTTTATACCAAATATACTGATTCCATCTAACTAAAACAGATACATAAACACAATCTCTACTTCCAGAGTAGAGCCAAAACCAGGGACCTTCTATTTCAGATTTACCTCCTTCCTTTCTGCTTACACAGTTTCTTATGCAAACTCTAGCTGGAACATATGAAAACAAGATCATTGGTGCTTTGGTTTGTTAAAGCTACAGACTTCTCATGTCTGATTTTCTCACTACATGATCTAAAGAAAACAACGCAAGCAAATTTAGCGCCTGGGACATGAAATATTCATTAATATACTATATATATGTGGCCTTGATGTACTGAAGCTAAGCTATTAAACAAGAATAAAAGTTTAGAGCTAGCAGCTCTATGAGACTACACTACACACGCACAGCACTGCTTTGAGCTAAATGCTAACAACAGCATGCTAACATGCTCACAGTAACAAACATGCTGGCTGCTGTGTTTAGCCGATCACGGCGGTCAGCATTTTAGTTTAGCAACATTTTCCAATTAGCACTAAACACAAAGTACAGCTAAGGCTGATAGGAACGTCATTAGTGTTGCTTGTATATGGTCATGAACTAAAGTACTGGGCAAATTAAATGTTTTACCTGCTGATGAAAAGTCAACCAAAGATTTTGCAATTCATGCTGAGGTGAACATGAATGTTTGCAGCAAAATGAATGGCAACCCATAAAATAGTTGTCGAGACAATTCTTAAACCTCAACCTCATGGATGTGCTAGAGGTAAAGGAAAGTCATTAAGACACATCCTTTACCTCTGAATGTCCAAAGAAAATCTCATGGTAATTCATTCAATAGTTGCTAAGATATTTCTGCGTGGACCAAAGTGGTGAACCGACCAAACAACCAACACACATTACCATCCGTAAAACATAATTTAATATTTATACAGAATTATGTTATACTAACTTATGCTGATAAATCTTTTGAGATCTCCTTTTAAGGATGTGTGGATGCCGCATTAACCACATTAGAGACTCTCTTTAACTCTCTTTGACCATCGAGGGATGCCATACCGTCCAAATGGAAAGATCACATGGTAAACAAATTGTGTCAACACCACAGCCACAGACAGACAGCTTAAACCCCATAATCACTCCAGCTCAGCAGCCACACACACATACACACACACCAAACACACGCGCACAAATCTGTTTAGTTATGGCAGCTGACTGTCAGTTTGCAATCTAACACCGGTGTCCCTTACAGCAGGATAAGCCGCAGTCTTCAGAAGTAATTTATCAGAACTCTGTGGTCGTGGCCCACAGCTCAGCTGCCTGACATTTGCTTTGCTTTAATTATGAGGAGCAGCATGTGACAAATTATCATCCTATCTACAGCATTTATATGTCTCTTTAAAAGGCTGCACTCATCTCCAAAACTGAACGGTGTTAAACATGACACAGTTACATAGTAGAACTCTTGATATCTTAATATCTGAAGAATGTAATTTTCAAAATAACATTCTTTTAAAAGACACCCAGTCTTTAAAAAATTACAGACACACGGTACAATGTGATCTCCGTGTAAGTATTGTTCACCGACACCCATACCCCATTTACACCTCGCATTAGCCAAGACAAGGGAAGGCAACTTTATTTGTACAGCACATTTCAAAAAAGTGCAAAGGGGCAAGCAAGCAATACAAGAGATATGTAATGCAGAAATGAATTAAATTAAGAACATAGAAGATTAGAGTTTTTAGCTGTTACTTTGTGAGTTTTGAGTCAGGGCTTGTCTTATATCACCTGGAAGATGTGAGGTCTCTGTGTCATGATAACAGAGTGCTGCTTCACCGTGTTTTGTTCTGACTCTTGGGACAGCTAGTAAGTAAGTCCCAGATGTCCTAAAGGTTATAGGAGATTCAGATTGCACAAGCATATCAGAGATATATTTGGGCTCAAAGCCATAAAGTAATTTGTGAAAAGATTGTGTAGTCAATTCTCTGAGTGACTGGTAGCCAGTGTAAGGATTTTAGAACTGCTGTAATATGTTCGTATTTCCTAGTTTTCATCAGGACCCTGGCAGCCGCGTTCTGAATGCGTTGCAGTTGCTGAAGAGCTTTTTGGAAAGCCCTGCGAGTAGACTATAGCGATATTCTAATCTACTGGAAAGAAATGTGTGGGTAAGCGTTTTTAGCTCTTGCTTGGACAGTACTCCTCTGATTCTAGCTTTGATTTTACCTAAAAATGGTAGGTTTGATATCGGTCGATAGGTCCAGTACACTAGTATCAAGACTGCTCTTAATGAGGCTTTGGAAAAAAATGCCAGATTGGAGAGAGTTGTTAACTATGACTTAGTTCTGCTCACAAATGTTTTAAGGAAGGCAATGGGTAAAACATCAAGTTACATCTAGAAGACTAGAGTGAGAATCCTTATTTATTTGGCATTGTGTAGTTAACAGTGTATCTGATGCCTTCAACCATGTCTTAAAAAAAGAATTCAAACTTCAATGGCGGCAAACAAGATGCGTGAGTTATTACATTTCTTGTTGATGATCTCAGAGGAAAATGACTGCCAGGTGTAAATGCATGCAGAACAAGTAGTGATTGGAATGCGATCAGATCAGCCAGACCACATTTGGAGGTGGTCACTGTCTCATTGTGATTGGATCTCAGCCAGATGTAAATGCATCCGTACAGAGTGACAACATTCTTAAGAAACAAAATCTGCCCAGCAAGTTGAAAGGTCACCTTAATCTGCCTCTTCCTGCTATTTTAGATATTGATTTTTGCATTTCTTCCAAGCAACAAGCTTTAAACACATTGAAAAATGTGAGCAAACAGTTGGCTATCTACACATCCAGTAGACACACAGCAACATTAGCATTAATGCATTACTGGCCACCTGATGTAGCTACTTTTGGTGGTCACTAACTATAATCAGGCTCTTAAGCTGCTAAATGCTAACCCTATTTTAGAGATACTTAATACTAATGAGAATTTTGTTGTGAATTTAGTGATTGACACATATAGGTGTCATTTACACTGGGGACGCTGGAGACTTGTCCTCACCACTTTTTTAAATGGCTGATTTTGTCCCCACCACTTTGTAAACATAATTTGTTAAAAAACTTTCTGAAATATAGCTTGCAGTTGAATAACAAATGAAAATGCTTTTAGAATGGTTTTGCACATTAAGAAAACATGCAATGCAATTAAAATATAGAAGAAACAAACGTGCATTGTCCTGTTATGTGCACGTCAACATTACGTTTAGATAATCGATAAACTGTTAATCTAAAAAAGTACGCCCAGCTTCTCTATCAACGTATTTGAAGCCTGCTGTTGCTGCTTAATGAATGAGCGCCGCAATTAAAATTTCACACGATCATTAATGATTTTCAGTAAATACTCAACACATGGCTGTCTCCCCCTCCTCGTTCTTCAAAGGATGAGCGAATGTGAGAGCGGCAGAAAGTAGTTGAGCATATTTACAGTAAAAAAAATTGTCATTGAACTATGAAAACAAAAACCAGCAATCAAAAACAATAATCGTTCATTAATCGTAATCCAGGTAAAATTAATCGTTCAATTAATCGTGATTATGATTTTAGGTCAAAACATCCAGCCCTACTTCAAGTATCTTCAACCATGTCCAGTTGACCTTGACCTGGATGACTGATATCAATCTTCAAAGACATAAAAAATATAATGATCCTTGGCTGAAGCTTTGTGTGTGTGTGTGTGTGTGTGTGTGTGTGTGTGTGTGTGTGTGTGTGTGTGTGTGTGTGTGCGTGCAAACATTTTTAAGCACAGTACTGTAAACCAATGACTGTATTGAGAAATGTCTCAATACAGTCATTTCTGTCTAGATAAAGGCACAATAGGACATGTAGTCACATTATGACTACATGTGTGGGCGGATCCCCTCTAGCATGAGAACACTGTATGTGTGTGTGTGTGTGTGTGTGTGTGTGTGTGTGTGTGTGTGTGTGTGTGTTTGCGCGCTGACTAAGGACTATTTCTGTTGGATTAGTTGTGGTTCCCACAGCAAGAAGCAGTCCTGCGGCCCTGACACATAACATTACATGGCTGTCTTTTACTTTCCCCCTTCTCTCTCACTCACACACACAGTGACACAGATGGAGGACATCCTGCTGCAGACATGTTTTCACCTTCTAAATCTTTCAAACTTGCTTTTTAATTATCTATTGAAGAGATTTAAGAGGAACAGATTTGGGAGGTCAAAAAAGGCAATACGACAGACACACAAACCCAGAAGCCAGACAACTGTTATCTTCCTCCACAGCCCACCATCATCCCTCTCAGCAAACATCTCGTATCACATTAGCTATTTGACCAGCAGTCATTAGCAGTGAAATGGGACAGTGTTACACACAAACATAAAAACACACATACACTAACACACAACCACAACCTGGGACAATAGCTGCAGATCAGTGCGGCTAAAAGCTAGTCACCTAGTCATAAAAACTAGTCATGAAGGATTGTAAAGAAGATCGGGTGCCGTGGCAGTTGGAGTTCTACAGTCAGTTTGAAAGGTTGCATACTGTGGAAACAAATGACAGTTTGTTAGCTATAAAGCAACAAGCTATAAGTGCTCAGAAACATGGTACAACGTCAGTTTTTTACATTACAAATGGCTGAAAAACAGAGAAGAGAAAAAAAGAAGAGCCTCTTTTGAGAACTGAATAAAAAATGATAAACGTTACAGTCCTAGTGGGGCATTTATTTTGGGGCTGTGGCCTTTTTATCCTCTGTCTTGGCAACAAAAAAGGACAAAGAGTCTGTTGAGGAGTCTAAACAGAGGGTTGATTCTTTGATACACAGAGCTGTTGTGTTGTTGTGTCCAGCCTGGCAGAGCTCATGAGTTTGCCTCATTAATGACGTCAAGTAAAACAACTGGACCAACCTAAAGACACTCAGTATTTCACACTAGAAGCGTGACCTGTAGTCTACAGCAGGGTCGAACTACAGCTCTTTACCACCAATAAATAGACAGGTCCATTCAGACAATTCGAACTCAGCTGCTGAAGATCCTAAGAACAAGACGAAGAGTTTACAGCCATGCTAGCCTCTGAGAGGCTGTACTGAGGCATAGCAGAGCTTTGAGCCAAATGCAAACATCAGCATGCTAACATGCCCTCAATAAAAATGTTAACATGCTAATGTTTAGCAAGTTTACAGTTTCCATGTTCACCATCTTAGTATGCTAGCATTTGCTAATTATCACTTAAACAGTATAGGTGAGGCTGTTGGGAAAGTCATTAGTTTTGCAGAGAAACATGAAATGTGTGAACCACATTTCACGTACACAATAGTTTATGATATTTCAGTCTGGACAAACTGAAATGGCAACAAAAAAACATTTTAGCCAGAGAGTGTGTTTGAGTGAGTGTCTGCAAGGGCAAGCTAAAGTAAACACTGGCTGTACCCTTCTCAGGATAAAGCCATGTTACAGTAATAGGGTTCATTTTGTAAGAATTGTTACTTTCGTTTCCCTTGGAGACAAATTGACTTAACTTGTTTGCACACATCACGGGTGTCACCTTTCAGACATGCTTGACTTGACCAGCAGTGCCCTGTTAATAATGTTCTGTTAGTTTGTCCCATTTATCAAGCCTCTGTATCCTAATAAGGAATGCATTATTTCTTTGCTCTGATTGAAGCAAATTTTTGTCCACTATTATTTCAAGTTGACCTTTTTACTTCAACAACAACTTACTGAACCAGAAACACAACTTTTTAGGTCTCACTATACTGTGATACAAAGCCAATAGTAATGCTTCTAACTGACAAAGTATGAAAGAGTGGTAGCAGAACTGTCCACAGTCCTTTATCCAACAGGTCACCTTCAAACTCAGTTTGTTTTAAGAGCAAACCTTGTCTAATCTAGTAACAAATAAAGAAGCACAGTGTAATGTTGACTTTGACCTGTAAAATCCACTTCATCTTGTTGTTTGCATTAAACCCACCACATAACTGAACAGGTGATGAGTCAGATGAAGTCAGTATAAAGTCATACTGGAATGGATTGAATGAAACAATGTGCCACTCCTTTATTTATTCATTTAAAGTAGCACCTTACTTAAACTAGTATTCAACCACTCGTCTATGTGTACATCCTGTTTGACAGCTAGCCAAAATGATCATGCTGATGCCATTACTTGAGAGAATGGCTTGACATTTATTCAAATAATAACTTACCATATATTTAAATTAAAAGAAAAAGGTCACGTTAATAATTCTTCCTTATTCAGTGATCTTAATTTCATTTGCAATTGAGGACATTTGATAATATGTGTAATGTTTTTAATATGTGCAGATTAATGCAGTTAAGTTGTTAAAACATTGACTCAATTAGTCAAATTGAATTCAATTTGACACTTGCTGGCAGAACAGTCACATTACAGGAGCCGGATTGGCCAATACACTCTAATCTCTTCTAAAGCCGAGCAGACACTGTGTGGATTAAGCCTGATTTTAGCCACAAATTTCTGCCAGATCAGTTACCATCTGACATGCAGTTTGAGGAGGTCATAATGCTAGATTAATTGCCAGAATGATCAAACTGTTGGATCAGCTGTCTCTCAGTTTAAGCAGTTCCACAGTCTGATATCCCACATGACTGCTATCAAAAGATCTGCTTTAAACTGTAGTGAGTTTGTCTTAATGAAGTAGTATTTTACATGTTGTGGCTAAACCCACAATCTAACACACGGACAATGCGATACATGCCTGCCAAAGGTTTCACACTATTCCACTTAGAGACAGGCAGCAATGCACCACAAAAGACGTGAAAGTGAAGAAGACGACTGCTAGCAAGTTAACATGGATGTAAACTGCAGGTTTCAAAACATGTTAGTTAAATCTCAAGGACACACACAATGTGTTCTGGTGACGCTCCTCAGCGCACCATTAATCAAAGAACATGAAGCCAGTGTGCCACACTGAAAAGGCTTTCCAACAAGAGTAACAGGAGTACTAATTAGCCACCTGGAGGCTCGTGAATGATCTCTCCCACATTTGATTAAACAAGACTATTAACATATGCAGATTTTTTTCCAACTCAAAACAGTTTACAGCCTTGTTCAACAGCTTCTGTGTCAGAGATATTACATAGCTACAAGGTTTTTTTACAAGTGTGTGTGTGCACGCGTGTGCGTGTGTGCGTGTATTACCTGTTGCAGCATCTCCTCTGTGGAGGCCAGTTTCTGCCGGTGTTCCTCCAGAGAACTTTCTAGGTCTCTGATCTTCTCTCCCTGAGCCTCTACCTGGTCAGTCAGAACGCTTACCTAATGGGTGACACATTAATTCTCTATTGAGACACAGAGCTGAATTGATCAGATGTAGAAAATCTGATTAAGGGTAATTTAGGTTATTCAAATGCATCTTGGAATAATGCGTGAACCCTTCCATGGCAGGAGGTTTTCTTGTTCTTCCCATACTGCTGATATTGTGTGAATGCAGCATTAAACCAGACTCACACTGATGTTGTTGCAGATGGAAACTTACAAATTCACAAATACAGAAGCATGGAAACACATGCACAAACGCCAGCGCATATCCAAAAAAACCCAACAAAACAAAAACACAGTTATGTAGTGGTATATATTTTTTTGGCCACCTATCCAAATTTCATGCACACACAGACAGAACTATACATTTAACTTCATACCCACATCACTATGTCACACAATAACACACATTCATCCTGGCATAACTCCAAAACAACACACATTTACTCAGCAGTCTGTCTCTCAGGAATGCGTTGCACATTTACAATAATCTGACAACACACTCACCTCCTGCCAAACATCTCTCACACACACACACACACACACACAATTCTCCTGTCCTCCTAAACTATGCCAAATCCCTCTGACGGCAGCTGATTCCCTGTCACTTCAGCTTCCCTGATTTTCACCCCTGCAGCCACATCCTGTCTCACAGCACTCTGGCAATAAAGAATATCCTGCAAAGTTTCTGCCTTAAAATGAATCAAAATCCAGATTACAAAGAAAACATGGACATGTGTTGGTACAGAGATGAGTGAATGATCTGGCAGCTTGTGCTTCCAAACAAGTGAGTGAACCGAAATGAAAGTATGTGAATGAGTTATGTATGTAATGTATAATCAATCTGCTTTAAGCCACTATTTAAGGGCATATAGTACCACAAAGCAGTTAAAAGACATGGTATGACTTTGACATGACTGTATAAACTCCTACTGTTGAAGAGAAAGTCTCTTACCTTTTCTGTGCTCTGCTGCTGAGTCACATACACCAATGGAGGTGAAAGTTCCCTACTGGGCTGCAGGGAACTCAGTTACTAAACACAGACAGTGTATATGCTAACAAAGACACGCTGAAGGAGAGGCAGGTGAAGAGAAAGTAAAGCAAAGAACCTCGAAGCAGCCAGTTAACTCTTCCGTCATGAAAAATAAGCCCCAGTCACCTTGCATATCAACCAATCACAGCGGGTCCCAGACGAGGAATGTGTAACAAGTAGGTGTTTGTGAGTGGTGGCGGTGGTGAGATATGGACTTTATGAACAACTTTATGAACTAGAGTCGTCCAGGTGGGTGGTGCACTTTAACTAATCATTATAAAAAGATCCACTCACCTAAGCTTACCCGGAGTACAAAACAAACACGCACACAAGTCAGGAGAGCCGGAGGAGCAGTTTGAATACTATGATTTAAGTAAGAGGAAAGTAAAGGCAGATTGTAGAGATCACAGCTGTTTGAACCAGCTATTAAAGTGATCTAAGAGCAGAGAGAGCCTGTTGACATCAGGTAGCGCAGAAATATGTAATCTTCTGCTTTACCACGGTGGAGCTGATGTTGATAGTTACTGTAGAGGTCGTCAGTAAACACATGCTCAGACGGTCTGAAAGTGTCCGGGCATGTTTTGTTATGAAATAACAAATATTTAAAGCACGAGGATTACAGACTAGAAACTAAGAAGTTTTTCCAGTGTGGCACCAATCCCTCCAGACAAATCCCTGGCTCATTTACTCATAGCATGGATTCAAATAATGATGTCAAAATAAACACAACTGATGATTATCTCTTTATTTTTTTGTTTGCAAAAAATTTTTAGTAGTAAAAAAAGGACGAGACGTCCCACTCAACCTAATGCAGAGTTCTTTGCCTTTGAGACTGACAGCAAACGTGGGAGCAAGTGGGGATGATGTGCAACCCAAGTTCCCAGCTAGAATCAAATGACGGACTTTTTATATTGCACTTTATACCAGTTTATTACTTTTAAAGTTCATCTGAAATGTCTGAGAAAAGTCTCAGAACAAACTCATAACACACTTACTGGTGGTGCAGTGTCTCTCGCAGTTATCACACACACACACACACACACACAGTTCTGACCTGTAGCACCAGAGACTCCTTGTCCCCCTCTAGGCGGAGCAGTCGTTCTTGGTAGGTTTCATTGTTGGCTGGAGAGCACAGGTTCACCTGGAAAAAAGACACAGGAAAAACAAAACTGAGGTGAAACAACCGAGCATCATTAGTTTCATCTGGGCTTTGTGCTCCATACATGTATGAAACTACTGTTCTAGTTTCAGTACTAGTACTTTTGTCAGAGTAACAAGTGCTTACGCCAGAACCTGCAAATGTATGCTTATGTACGACTGACTGGATCATGATTGTTCAGCTCATGCCAGAAAAATGTTGATAACACTGTGCTTTTAAATTTTGAGAAAACATAAACATTTCTTTGGTATAATTGAAAAAAAGTCTATACTGTGGAACCAGATAATAATGGTTCAAGATAAAATGGTAATTAATTTGACATTTTAATGTGGACTTCTCTCTTAAACACTCAACTCATTTTAATTAAATGTGAGTTAGTTTAGCTTGTTCTTTTCCTTCAAGTCAAGTGAAATTTTATTTATATTGCTCACTATCACAAATTTGCCTCAAGCGGCTTCACAATCTGTAGAGCACACGGCACCCTCTGTCCTCAGACCCTCGATTGGGATAAGAAACCTCAGCAAGAGATCCAGATGAGGGCTCCCTCTCCCTGCTTCATGTTGAGAACTGGTCTGAGCTAAACTGCTGACTGACTCGCACAAGGAGCTGACAGAGCTGTTGCTGTTCAAATACAGATTTTCCACAAAGCAAATGATGAAGACTTGTAATAAATAAATATATATATTAATGGCAACATTTTTTTCTTGTGTTACGATTTTCACGGGACCAAACCATTTCTATTCTGAGGCGAACAGAACATGTCTTAAATAAGCAGATGTGGATATTTCTTTAGCAACCACGCAGCCAAGTGGGAGAAAAAGCTGTGTCAGACTCGGTCTAGAATTACAAATGTTTTGTAATATGTATTTATGCAAACGCTATGAACAAGATATTTCCTTTTGGTCAGAAGCTCTTTTGCCAGTTTTGAAGTCCCTAGTTATTAAGGTTATGGCCGAATTATGTGTTCTGCAACTCAGGAAGTAAAAGTGAAAATCAAGCAGAACTATTTTAAATGATGTAAAGCTTAAATGATGTAGCCAGTACAGTTTCCATTTCTTTCTAAAGAGTCAGATTATCCCGTTTTTGAGAGTGTTTGTGTTGAGGGATGCTGACTCCTTGACTCCTCAGCCTGCTGCTGCCATTAACAGGGAAATTGAGAAAGAGGAAATGTTATTATCCAGCGACGAAGCCTGGATGTGATAAGATGATGGTTTATGCTTCTCTCAGCTTCAGGGCAGAGGAAATATGTAATGCTGGTGGTCTCTGCCCTCTTGCTTTAAGAAAGGTCTGTCCTTTAAGCTTAAGTGCTATCACATCAAACTGTAACATAGAGTTTTCACCCCTAGCCTTTATAAGAAGAACAGATAAGTAGATATTAGATGCAGTTTGTTACATATTTTATCATCACTCAGTTATTATCACAACAAGTGTCGAAGGCATTAAACATGAGACCACATATATTCACTGGCCACGTAAATTCACTAGCTACACTGGATTTGCTTTATTGCTTGAATTTGAATGTATAAAAGGATAGCCTCTTGAGATGCATCATCTCATTTTCAAGAGGGTCCTAAAGCTGCACATAACTTACCAAATTAGTATTTTAGACATATTGTAGGAACTGATGCATTTGAATTGGACAAAACACAGGTGATGTATTTGTGATGTAGTGTATTTCAACAATATCCAAGCAGGTTCTCAGCATTCTCATTATAAGACCATACCTGAAATTTAAAGTTGCATTAATAAATATTTTCATATAAGCAATGGATCTAATGTGTAATGTGAAAGTTGCTGCTCATAGTGACAAATTGTCACCCGATGCTGCAGCTCCCCTCAGCTCTTCAAAGAGTTTTAACAAATTGGTTTTATGGCCCACAACTTCACTCTCTTTCGCTGTCATCTACCTTGCTTCCAGCCACAGCCACAGGCTGCTGTTTTCAGCGAGAAAGCTCTGATAAAGCCACAGCACACTATCTGCACTATCTGACAGACAAAGTTAACAACTAGCTGGTGAACGCATAGGAGCTTTTAGCAGCTAAAGAGCCAGAAATTTCCCTCTGGAGTTGGTGGAAACCAAAACATAACTGAAAGAAGAGTGAATATTGGGCTTATAGTCATTATGTGGCCACAAACACACAAGCCCAAATGAATGCTAATGTGTCTGCTGGGTGTATAATCAAGCAACTGTTTGCTAAAAAGCTAGCCACACCGACTAGCCAAAAGCACTGGTGGCAGAATTTATGGGGGGCAGATTTTAAGTAATACTAGTATTAACAATAAAGCTCATGTTAAATGGCAGCTACCAATCACCTCAACCATTACTTGTTTATAATCAACACATGAATGTGTTATACATTTGTTTGTGTCAGCAGTCCGCCCCCCCCCCACTGCTGTCTAAACTATGGCCAAAACACACTGCCTAAAATAGTCTGACAGTCCAGAACATGATACAAAAGGCCTGGAACCCAAAATATGTGCTCAATGTAGATGTAATTGCTTGCAAGTGGCCCTTCCTGCTATCATGACAATGACCCAGTTTTGAAGAGTCGAATGTAAACATCTGCATTTAAGGCTTTTAGCTGAAACTCTTATCTGATGCTAAGTCAGAACAGTAAATGTAGTAATTGCAGAATGAGCTTCAAGTACTAAAACACCAACAGTGCTAATCAAAAATAAGGAGTGCGATGGTTAGCACCCTGGTAACATTTCACGACCATATTACGTTTTAGAGAAGAAAAGGCACAGAACGTACAACTTTAGCTTGTTAGCATCCACACAGTGCACAGTTTAAAACATATGTCAGTGAGCCATACAACTTTTAAAGAACATAGACAACTGACCCTAAAATAAGCATGTAATCCTTGATGATCTGTCTGCTGCTAAGGTCAGTGAGTACAGAGGATGTATACAGACTGGGCCACCTGACGCTGGCCATATGGACACATTAAACCTATTAACATACTGTAAACTCTCCAGAGAGACAAGGAAGCAGGGGGGGAAGAGAGAAAGAAAGTATGAGATCAAAAGAGAGTAAAATGATACTGAATGTTTTACTAGCTGTCACCAAAGGTACTAAAAACAGCAATGTAAAAAGAGTTTGTAATATTTAGGTTTGCAATAGTGTCACAGCATGACTTGGTGGTTTATCACCCCAGTGGGTGGAGTCAGAAAGTGTTTGAAATATGCTGTAATCTCAGATATTCCCATCTGACTGAACACAGCACTTTATGGGGCTGATAAAGAAAACCAGGCCAGGCTGGTTCTATCCGTCTGTCATCGCCTGGTGGATTGTGTGGGTATGGAGGGAAGGAGAGAGAGAGAGAAAAAGGGTTTGGGGCAGAGTTAGGTTGCTCACATTAGCACTTTTGTGGACGTCTTTCCAAGACTGATGGAAATACAATCAACAATGTTGCGCACTTTCTTGTTCTATGTACTTTCTCAGGTTGTATGTTAGAGAAGTGGCGGTAGTTGAAGGTCTATAGTAACAACGTGTTGTAAGTGAAGCCATCTTCACGAAGAGATTTGTATGTCTTTTGAAAGCTGTGCAGTGTTTTGAGATTTGGACAGAGGAGTGGGTGGGACTTCTAATGACATACAGTGCTGTATATGATCCCACTGTCTATGAATGCATGACAACATGCAGGACAGCACCTACATTTAATGATTCACAAATAAAGCTCTATAGAACCGTCACTTTGCTGGAAAAATACAGTACTTACACTATAAAGCCTGTTTTCACTTTTACTTAAATGCTCTCACCTATTTAAAAGGGCACTTCAGGACAATATTGTCTACAGTTATGCAATTTCTCTGCATCCAAAACCTAATGTTCCTTTTTTGAGTAAAACACTGGTCAAAGTGCTTCTGTGGAAAGAAACTAAATTTTCTTAAATTAAATTCCTAGTTGCTCTTAAATTCAGTGGTGAGTGCTGATTTGATTTGGCCCTGGGGCATGTGTAACCCATTAACTTAGGTAGTCTCTCTAGTCACACCACTGTGTCCCTTAATCTAATTTAAAAGCTGGCCCAATTCAATTTTATGTCTGCACAGCTTGACAATTAACCATCCCAGTGAGAATGGAAAATTAATTTGAAGGCGAGCTGGTGGCATTCAAGATGCTTTATCATTTGCTGTATCTGCACATCTCAGTTTAGATATTTTTCTTGATGATGTTAAGCATGCTCTAAACACACTTAATCATGCTACACACAGTGATAAACACTGGTAAAAACTGCTGTTTACTGCGCACCACACATTGTAAAACCACAGGATGTATTCGATAGTTTCTGTGGTGGCTGGTGTGGTATGTTTGCTGCAATAGTGGGCTTTTTCTCTGACAGGAAATAAAGCCACTGCACTCACACACTGTTCTTGCAGCTAACCAGCTGTAAAAAACTATTTCCCTGAAGAGATAAAGAACAGGTTCTGTGTCTCTGCACAAAAGTAAAGGTTTGGGAACAGTATTCATTTTAAGTGCTATGAGATCAAATTGTATCATAGGGGAGTGGAGTGTGTGGGACTCCTGATGACATACAGACTCTATGAATGCATGACAACATGCAGGACAACACCTACTTCACTGTAAAAATACTGTATTTACAATATATACTGTAACTTACATTTAACCCAGAACAGCGAACATTACTTTCTTTTGGTGATGTTGCATACATTTGTTATGTTGAGATATTTATTGATACTAGAAAATATTTGATCAACATAGCAATATTGATTTCAACCATTTTGCCAAGTCCTACAGTAATGATAACTCTCAGACAAACAGGCACATAAGCCTACAGCAGCAACAAATTGGCACAAGCTTATGCACGCACACACGGGGACATTTCAGTTCTCAAGTA